AAACTATAATCTTCATCACTGCCTGTTTTAACGGTCTGGACATTAATGGTACTCAATTGATTACATCATGAATCTTTGATCATGTCCCTCTCTTTAGCAAGCGATACACCAAATTTGAGAGAGATTATAAACAGATGTGAGAACCACACTTCAACTTAAAATGAAATAATGGAAACATAATTTTACTGAAGTAACTCTTGCTTTGGTTTGATTTCTTTTCAGTATTTGAGGATATGTGTGAGTATTCCTTACTGGTCATCAGGGGACAACTCTCCATATTTGTTTTTTCATTTGAAAACAAAAATCTGTAGGCCGCCAAGCACACAGACCCAGAGCAGGATTAAGTTGGTCATGGGCCACTAGGCTTTACCAGAAAATTTAAGTATTACGGTCCCTGAAATATTACAGAGGAGATGAGCTAGCTGCAGCTACAGCGAAGGATCCCACCGGGCTTGAAATATCCTGTTAATTTAGGGATTTTTTTTAAAGGTCTTTTTTTCTTTTAAACGTTGCTGTTTTTGTTCGGAGGCTCCACTGTCATACTTTCTCTCTGTCATTTTGTTGTCATTCTGTCAAGGGACGTCAATCAAAAATTACTGACATGTGCCATGACATGACCAATACAGCGGCTTGGATAGATTTAACATGTGGGTCACATCCATCCAATCAATATTTATCTATTTTATGGGCCAAGAGAGGTTTTTGTCGTTTCTATTTCGGAAACCTTAAAATAGTGTGGCCAATCCGGGGCCTCTCGGCTGCAGCCCAGGCCAGCCTGTGCATTAATCCGCACCAGCACAGACCACTTATATCTTTAGATTTAATTCAAGGGGGTAATGTTTTTTCCACTTCAAACTAACTCACAGCCTGTTTTGAAGATTTTTCCACTCTGAAGCATCCATTTTATGCTCATTAAATCCTCTCTGTCTCTGTCATTTCCCAACCATGAACCTTTTCCCTGCTGCTACTCTGAAAACCCAGAGGGGAAAAAAAAAAAAAAAAAGAGCTTTTACTTTTTCATTAAATGTTTCAAACCTACAATGAAACAACAGACACCTCTACGAGTTCATAAGAGGGGCTCTCTGGTGAATATTTCAGGTGACTGACATGCATCATCCTGAAGCAAGCCGGTGAAACCATCTGAAAAAAGAAGATAATCTTTTCAAAGCTTTCGCTTGTCAAAAGCATCCTGCTGTGGCGCCTGTTTCGATGACAAAATCTGAAAAGTATAAAGGATAAATGTGTCTTCAACAAATAGTGTCATCCGTAAACTTTCCAGTACTTCTGACCCCTACGTGACTTTTTCTTTTTTCTGCTTTTCATGGTTTTTTCTCTCCTCGGCTGCCTCTCAAAAACACGATACACCCAAGAAAGACAGAAAGCTGTCGTGTGAGGTGGTGACCTTCTCATCTCTAGCAGGTTGAGGGGTTTTCTGTTCACGTATCAAAGTTTATGACAAAAGTTGAATTTAAGTTAAATATTCTACTAAGTTCAACCTCTTTTTTCTTGAAAATTGAATCCAGTAAAACGACTTTTGACTTGCAGTGCATGTGCAATATTTCACCTACCACTGGTTCACTTGGGCTTGTAGCATAGTTTTTAGCAGTCAGGTAATACTAATGTCATAACAGGATGGTGGTAAGAACTGAGATTTAGAAAAATGATGATTTAGTCTTCTGAGAGTAAAAAAAAAAATTGCCCCTCATTGCACTCTATGGAAAACAGTGTTTTAATGCCATTTTCATTGGGATTCAGGTAGCTAACACCTATTATACCTATTTATACAAACACAGTCTTGCCATGGAAAGATTTGACCAAACTGCTGTAGCTCATTGTGGAGAAAAGACAACACAAAGAAAATCAGGAGAGCTCAAGCCAATAAATGCATCACAAAAATTAGACAATTTAAAGCTCCCGTGAGGAGTTTTATGATGCAGTGAACCATCTTTTTTCAGTTAGAAGAGTTAGAAGAAGAGTTTTAGTTAGAAGAAGACGATTATTTCTACATATTTATGCCATGTGCTGATCTCTGTCATTTCTCAGCCATGAACCTTTTACCTACTGTAAGTCTCAAAGTCCCACTCTGATTGTTTATTTTTTTACAATTTACAGCGTTCTCAGTGGTCTTTAAATTGTGATTATGAAGTTTTTTTTTTTTTTTTAGTAAAAATCACATTACCTGTGTCATTTTTAAAGACTTTTCTTCTGTAGAGCTCTAGTAGCTCATTAGCAATTCACCTCTGAGTCAACAAACATTTTTCTCCCCCCTGCTTGTGATGTTGACATGTAGTTACTGTAAGACTGTTTTGTGCACAAGTCCTCTTTTTTCTGTGCAGCTCAGTTTTTAAAAGTTATTAGGGGGTTCATGTTTTCTATGATTGACACCTGATACAGCCTATGGGCTTTAAGAGATTGCGTAGCTCACCCAGGGGATACGCTGTTTGAGCCGAGCGTCATCACAGCGACTCTCGGCGACTGCGCGGCCGAATGCGCGTGTCGCTACTGCGCAGCGCTGGTTTCTGGGTGAAGAAAAATCCCGGAAATACCGAGAGCTTTTTGGCTTCAAATCTGTATACAGGCGGGAGGCGGAACCAAGTTGTCCATAGTACATACAGTCTATGTTTTCATCTCATCGGAGTGGGTCTTGAATCCAAGATGACAGCAGTGTCTGTTTTAGTCGTTTTTAGCAGTTTTTATTTTGTTTTATTAGTGTTTGTAGTTTAGTGTCTGTAACTCAGTTAACGTACTGCTGCCTGTCTTGGCCAGGACACTCTTGCAAATGAGATTTTTAATCTCAATGAAGATATTCTGGTTAAATTACGTTTCATTCCATCATTCATAAAACTGATAGGTTCTTCCGAGTCGTATTAGACATTCAGAAAAAAAAATAGAAAGGAAAATTTAACATCTTTTGTCAGCAAACTCTTCTTACATGTTGAGGTTAAGACCAGCAAAAGGATAAATCTAACTGCTTTGTCCAGAGGGGGCGCCAGAATCGGCTCAACCCAAAAATCTCTCACAGGGGATTAAACTAAAAGTATTACCTAACAGCGTCAAATGTTAACCTTCAGTTTAATTGCACACCCCATGCAGGTACAGAAGTTACATTTCTTTTTCCAGGATCAGTTGCTGATCCCAGAGGGACTCTGTGTAAGCCATCTGGTGCCGAGTCAACCTTGTGTTAGCACAAAAAAAAAAAGTGAGGGGAGCGGAGAGATTCACCTTTGGATGAAGGAGTCAAAAAAACGTGACAATCCTATCAGTTTTTCAACATTTCAGTCTAGACTAGGGCTGTCATTACATATCAGATTTTCACCTCACAATATTAAATATTTACGGAAAATCTGAAATAAAAACACAATCAGTCAAACTGAAGAGTTTGTCAGTTTTTTAAAGTGCCTGATCATCTCTCGGAGGGCCTTTTTAGCTTAGTCATGGTCATTTTTAAAGACAGTTACCAACACAGCTGCCCTTGTCTCGACCAATTTGACTAATTTATTTTAAAAAGGGCCGATTTATCATCATGCATTTCATCGTCATCGTATTCTAACTGATTATCTCGTAATGAGCTTGAAGGTTTCATGACGCACCAGAAAGTTTAGAGCTGGATAAAAGTTTCCTGAGTTGAGAGACCAGAAAATCCCTGAGGAGAGAAGGGTCTTTGTATCAGAGTCAGACAAACAAAACCTCACAGCTTATCTGCTTTGGAGGAACCGGCTACTTTCTGACAAAGCGACTGAAGGTTCCTGTCGATTTTTTCCTAAACAGCTTTGATGTCTCGGCCAATATAAGCTTCATATCTTCAACCTATTATTTGAGGGTTATGTGGAAATTTACCATTAAACCACCTGACTGGAATCAAACACTCGTATACGCGTTTTGATGGTCTCTGCACCTTCGCAGCCCCCGCTTCCACAGACATGTTAAGGCATGCGACCTCTCATAAAGCTCTCAGCTTCGAACTGATTCAATTACGGCACAATATCGGCTGAAATGCAGCTGATACCGTACAAAAAAATTTGCACACCTGGCAAAATTCATCACACGTCGACAGCCAATGCAGCATTTCAAGAGTTTGATTCCTTTATTGCGTTTTGTCTTTTATGTTAAGGTATGAGCTTCTTCGAGTTTTTCGACACAGGCTTTCCAGATTTCTGCAACGGTGAGGTGTTCAGAAATCGCAGTGTTTCAAATATGAATGAATTTTATCACCACACTAGAGGCCTTCCAAATACACGTACAACAAAAAATGATGATTGTGCCTTGAAATCCCTCCATCAAGCAGTTTCTAGTCCCTCTCTACCTCAAGAAAACAATCTCTATGTCATAACCAGCTGTTTGATGTAGCCGTGAGTTTCAATTATTCAAGTGTTGCTTTGTTCATCTCTGCTAAGCCCTCCGATTCAGAAAGAAACGAACCTTTTTAAACTTGTACTTGAACTGCTGACAAAAAAGGACGGTAATCCCCGCCGTATTTATTGTATAAGTGAACACTAATGGAGTTAAGCAGTATAGATCTGGAAAGGAATGATTTCTGACAGGAAATCTATTTTGTCTACCCAGCAAGCATGCAGCTTAGAGCTCTATTTTTAAGACAATACACATCCGCTCTCCCTTCAGCGAATCCCTATGTCATCAGAAATTCTTTCCTCTTTTCATCCTCACCTTTTCAAAACACCTAACAAGCCAAATTTATATTCCCAAAGCCTGTCTGTCATTGATAATGTAAATGTGCAGAAAAAAAATCCCACCTCCAGGTTTGAAACTGAAGAATGGTTCGCATAGACGCTCACGAAAATAGACACATGCACTCTAATTTCGACGATACGCAAGAAAATGACTGCCTTGATGAAGATGGGTGGTTGTAATTACTAACAAATCAAAAATGTTCCAAAATCAGATTATATCTTATGCTCTAGATACGCTTGTTTGAGCAGATGTTTTTAAGCAGATTATCATCTGGAGAGGCTTTGTGTCTCGTGCAGATATCAGCAGCATGAGGAGCAGAGAGAGGGTTGGAAGACGTGGAAATGCTGTGACCTATTAAAAGCCGATCTATTCTGTTCAATTTGGCTCTTTAATAGCTTGAAGTAGAATTTTTGGATGAGGGTACATCCTGTCATGTGAGGCTAATCTCCAATCAGCCTTTATTTGTCTTTCTAATCTTTGCTATCTGTGCACACCAGCAGAATTATTTGGCATGACAACACAGAATTACCCTTGCACATCTTAGTAAATGTGAATCGTTTGGCTTGTAATCCTTTGACATTCATGTTGAAGTCACCTTGAACCAACATAATGAGCAAATCCCTGCCTGCAACAATCGCTTTGTAGGTTCATGCAAATCAGTAACCGTGCCAAGAAACGATTCGGAGTATCAAAGGTGATCTGGAGCAGGTGCAAGGCAAGTTTATTTGTATAGCACTGTTCATACAGGTTAATTTAAAGTAATCATAATAATAAAAACTTCATTTTTAACCACAGAAGTTTACAAAGACACTTGGCTTACTTTGTTAAAGTGGTTTAACGGTTACAGGGTCTGTAAGATCCCTTAGCTTCCCCCATCATTGTTGACCCGGCTCTTTAGCTCTTGTCTGGGTCAGAGATGCCACTTGTGAGATGATATTAGTGGGCGGGGGTGTCTGTTTCTTGACTGCATACAGGATGTGTAAAAATCTGAATTCCTCAGTCAGAGGAAGCTGCCTTTGTTGTAAGCTGCTGACTCCTTGCAAGTAAAAGATATCCAAGAAAAAGAAGTCCACTATCTCTGTCGTTCTTCTCAGCTGGCTGCAAGTCAGATGCAGTTTAATTTTTCTGACATGTATACAATACAAAAAAGATGCTTCTTTAACGGATTCCTGCCTACCCCACCTTTGAAACAATTTAAAATCAAAAAGACACAAAATGATTAAAAATCAATGAGACAAACAGACAACTTTTTTTGTTTTGTCTGTTCCATGTTTGCCCTGAACACCATGAAAACCATTGTTTCCCAGAAAAACTAAATAAGTTACAAGCTTTTAGACGATAATTAGTTTTCTCTTCGTCTGTTTCGGCTCTGATGAGATTATAAACTGGAGAGTCCTGGTTTTCTAGACCTTTCTTGCAGTTACTTTAGACAAAAAAAAAAAAAAACTGATGTTACCGTAAAGAAAAAGAAAAAGCATTTTTCTATCGCTGTTGGAAATTTCTATGAAAATAAAAATTAAAAAGTGTCCCAATAATCAGCAAAAGTCAGCTGTTAAACAAGAATGATCGTTTTTAAAGGCGTCACAGATAATCGTCTCCATTTCTAGAAGAGTATTCAGTCCCTACTAAAGTCAACTTTCTCAAGTATGACCAGATCATGGCATTACCTTGTTCATGTTGCATTTACTCTTGACTCTTTTGTTTATGGATCAACTTTCACCTCGCCGTTCTCCTCCTCTGCCCTCCACTCCTTCTCCATTGTCAGGTCACCTTATGGGCATGAAGAATGTGAGGCCAGTCGGTTGTTACTCTTCCTCTCCACTTGACAAATGAAGTTGTCACTTTCCTCAAGTATGACTGGCCGTTTCAGGCTGCACAGCATTAATATTTCTTTTGCCACCTGTGCCTTCAAGCTGTCCTTTGATAATACCCCCCTCCCTCCTCAACATCTGGCCAGAAGAGTCACCAGCAGGGGGTGGTGTTTGCCCTCATAATGTCAAATAAATCAATCTTGCAAACCGACTTCCTTCCCGGGTTAGCATTTCATTACAAAGTCTGTCTGAGTGAGAGGATTTTCAGGGCCAGCCTTGCTTGTTACCCTGAATTGTAACTCGTGGATGATGCTAAGCTGTCCGTCTCCTTTGACAAAAGCTTATTTTCCCTCTCAGCAAATGGTTTGAGGATTGAGATGAGACTTTGAAGCCACAAACACACAACCAAGCTCTTAATGAACAGCCTGGTGAGGGGCTTTTGTTCCACTGGTTGGTTGTTGGGCAGAGCGGGCTGGTTGGTGAAGAGTCTGCGGGGATGTGGGAGATGTGAGGGGTTTTGATGTCGAGTCATTTATTCCAGTCTTTGCTCCCAGAGGCACTCGGGTAGCAGCATTTATTCAGCTGTTGTTCGATTGTTGTTGCCTCCAATCGGCCCTGTCATATATGTCTTTGTGGTATGCATTATTTGCGCCTTTTAGGGTATGCTTGTCCCGTCTTTAAAGGCATGTGTGTGCATATGCGTGTTACACTGCACTTCAACTTCAAAGGCAGGCTTTAAGAAAGCTCCTCTGTGCTGTCTCATGTCCCTTTAATGAGGAGGTTTCATCCTCCCCAAGACTTTGTGGATAACAAGACACAGTTTGTGGAGAGGGGCGATATGTATATACGCTTGTTTGTAGTGTTAGTATTACAGATCGTACAATTTCACAGCAGAGTAGTTTAAGAAATAAATCATTGACTTTATGTATCATAAGCCACCGTGCCGCAATAATTTCAGGAAATTGGGTCCTTCTTAACTTTATAGGCAATGTTCTTTATTCCTCAGTCAGAGGACTATTCCTGAATACATTTGGAGTGAGAAATAGGTCACGCAGTTTCACAGTCATGCTTCGTTTAAAGTTGAATGCGTCAGTCTGAAACGCTGAGATTAAAAGAAAAAAAAAAAGTTGTTCATGACTTTCAGAGAGGCTGTGTCGCAGCATCATGCAAGTAGCTCCTGAGTGTTCACTGATCTGTTGGGCTCCACATGACAAGCTTCAGTGATGATATAGGTGTTGTTTTTTCACTGAAGCAGAGTTTTCACAAAATCATCACAAAATGACAATTTACAGTTTAAAACGGTCCTACTGACTCCAAACCCTCATGATTGTAATAGATGTCACATGTCATGACTTGGTTTGGTCTTACCCTCACTTGAAAGATGACTTGACAACAATTTTTAGACATCTTGCTTGGGCCTTGGGGAAACTACCAATTTTAGGGCATAACCAGGCCATGAAGCAACATGAAGGTCAATGAGAGACAGCATTGCATGTGCATCCTTGTCAGTGTGTGGATAGATGCAGCTAGAGTTGATATTTCCAGTTGCTCCAAAAGCCTCTCTACAGCTGAAAGACCTCATGATGTCCCCGGATCTTGGGGAAATTATGTACAGTCGTACAATGATGATAGAAAACCATCAGTTATGACTGATTTCATATATTCACATTCACACACGACAGACTGTTTCTGCCAAGTAGTTCAGTTTAGTCGCAGGTATTTGTGTTTTCACTGTCAAAAAACGAATCCATTCCACCCTCCTTTTTTGGCACCCTTCTGTTGGGGTACCTAGCCTACCTATTCTAAGTTTATCTTTTTTAATTTGCTTCGTTATTTAGTTTATATGTTAATAAAATGTTGGAGTAATCTAGGATGACCATACGTCCTCTTTTATCCGGACATGTCCTCTTTTTTGGGGGGCTGTCCGGCCTTCGTCCGACTTTGTCCGCGGGAGTTTATAAAATCCTTCAAATGTCTGGGGTTCTGTATAGAAGCTTTGAGTTTGTGTTGTGTGGACTTACTGAGTTAGAAGTGTGTAAAAAACACTGGCTTCGACCCTAAAAACTCTCAGTACGCGTGACTCTGTGACTATGACCCCGCTATGTCATGTCCTCTTTTTGGGGATTCAGAATATGGTCACCCTCACTAATCTCTAGTGTCTTTGTTTTTTTGGTACAGATGCTTTAAAGCTGGCAGTTAAAAAAAAAAAAAAGTGATAATAATCGAGATCGGACAGTGTGACAAAATATATCATCCAGTCCTATTTTCAACCCCAAATGGTTAAACTATGGGGGTAGTTTCAAGAGATTATGGTTTGCTGTGGGAATGCAGGCAAGATCAGTGTTTACTTAACCAAACCATGCCAAGGTGTACCAAATCAATCAGACCCTCAGTGGAATAGCATCATATCTGACTCGAAAGACTACAATCCCTACCTAGTGAGGGCACAGTTGGCTTTGGAAATTCAAGCGAGATCTGTACCAAGCCACACCTAACTTTACTCATCGTATTTTGTCACTATTTTGGAGTCCCATTATTCCTAGCTGCTGTACTCAGGTGACAACGCCAGCTTTAAACTGTCTAATATTTCCAAGTAATCATTTTAGATCCTGCAGTAAACTTAGTAAAGAGCATCAGGGGGGCGCTGAGGGTCAGGGGTTAGGACAGACAGTGACTCACCTCATCGTGGACCAGCTCCATCACAAATCCAACAATGAGCCTTTTTCGCTTCAACAACCTCAAGATACTCATTACAAATTTTACATCATGTTCCACACGCAATACATCTGTGTACCTACTTTATTGAAAATGCCATCATATTTTAATTATTAACTGTATTGTAGTTCCAGATGCGAATACAAGGCAGAAAACCTGATTCTGATCCAAAAGTGATCCAAGGTTTTAGTTTTGATGGTGTGAAGCAAACGTTAGCTGCCTAACTGGATTAAACATGAGGTAGATGGCAGCAGATTTCTATTATATGGTAAGGTTATTCTTTTCCCCTCCCCTCTGGATGACATAAGGAGAAGTCTTTGGAGATGTATGGGAATATGTACAGGAATCTATAGTAAGTGCTTCCCCTGGTAAATGGCTGCTTTTACAGGAACAGCATGTAACAGCATGTTTAAGTATAAATTGCCTAAGTGAGCCTCCATTAGATTCCTATCAAGAGCCTATTTCCATTACTTATAGGGTGCATTGATCAGATTCTGGCAAAGCGTGTCCCATCAGCATTTCTCCTGAGTCAGCTGTGTGTGTATGAGTGTGTGTGTGTGAGTAAGTGTGTGTGTTTGAGTGTGTGAAGCAGTGTTACTTTTGTCAGATCACACAAACACTACTGGCCAATCAATCGGGGTAAATTAATCACATGTTCTTGCGTGTTTGTGCACACAACCTTGACCAATAACAATGCAACTTCTAAATCGTTAACCTTCAGGTAACATCTCTGTAAACTCTGAAGACACTGTAAGTTTTATTTAAAAAGAGGAGATTTACTTTAACTTTTTGTTCTTTGGAACACTGTGCTCCCAAAATCTTCCCCAAATAAAAACAACACTAAATAATTCGACTCAAAGGAAAGATTTGCTTTTTTTGCTTTTTTCCAAAATAATTCTAATATGAACTCTAAGAGTTGTTCTTCACTGAACTTTTTGTCTCTGCTCTATACTTGCCATAAAAGAGAACCTCTCTCAAAGCAATTGAAAGTTTTAAAAAATTCCTCAGTTCTTCCTTCTGCATTGTGAAGTTCAGCCAGAATTGGGGGTATTTTCAGGCTGCATCAGTCTGAGTTACACAAACCAAGTGAGTTTAACTCCAAAGTGAGAGTCTTTCTGTATAGAATTCCCTCTTGTGGTTTTACTGTTCTCCGCCACAGCTCAGAATGCAAACACTCTATAAAAAATGAGAATTTTACATTCATCAGACAGGAAGTTTGGGGACTACCAACTAGCTCAGTCTGGCTTAAAACTGCTCAAATGCCCCAATAGTTTTATGTGAATGTTGAGAAAGCACAAACTGAGGGTTTTCAATATTATTCCCCAACACTTACTGTATTTACAATTATTTTGCATTCTGTACTAACGGTTATTAAACACACTTTCTTTTCATTTAAAATGTGCTCATATGAGCACTATACACAAAAACCAGGGCCCAGTGGCAGCAATGAGGGATCTGTCTTGGGGTTACAAAATCGAGTGCTGCAAATAAACACCAAAAATGAAAAACTAATCATTACTATTATTATTATTATCAGCTAGCTATAAAGTTTTGTTTTATACAGATGATTGATTGGAAGGATGATAACTGGATGAATGGATATTGATCCAGCTATTGATGATGGATCTATGGATGATAAATGGGTGGGTAGACAGATGGACAAACCGATAGATAGATAGATAGATAGATAGATAGATAGATAGGTAGATAGGTAGATAGATAGATAGATAGATAGATAGATAGATAGATAGATAGATAGATAGATTGATAGATAGATAGATAGATAGATAGATAGATAGATAGATAGATAAATGAAAGTGGGGCTAGATATACGGAGCAATGCATTGAAGAATGGATGGATGAATGAATGAATGTATATGGATTCTTGAACAGATGAGGACGGATGGATGGATGGATGGATGCTGTAAGGATGTCTAGCCCAGGTTCACACTTGAAAGAATGGAAGGTCTACACGAATGATCATTTTGACAAGCTTTACTGGTTGCAGATCTGGGTTACAGCTTCATCTAACAAAGTGTAACAATGATTGGTCTGAGACTAATCAAGTATATATAGTTGTCCACATTTCTAAACATATTGTTGACATTTAGTAGACCCTAAGAAAAATCCATGTACGGTAATAACAAAAGACGACATATTTTAAGGAGCTTCAGGTGAACATATGGAGGGTCCATAGAAGGAAATACCATGGCAGAACATATTTTGGGGACCTGCGTGATGTAAAACATGGGTACAAGGTCCGTGTTAAAGATAGTTGTCGGAGGCCCATGGCTCCAGAAATCTAGCACCAAAGTATCTGAAGTATTTGAGTGACACAGCTCCACCACTCTAAAGGCTGACGTGACTGGCTAAAGAAACTCATCCTAACAGATGGATGGATGGACTGGCTCAATTGATGAACTGACATTTCAGTCATATATCATTGTTCTTATTGCTGCTGTACCACCCTCCATTAAGAGTCCTGAGTGTAACAACCAAGGTATTAAAATGAAGCAAATGTTTCCATCGATACAGGAAAGTAACAGAGAGAAGTGACAAGTGAGATGCTATTGATTCAAAGACCTCTTCTTTCAGTCTTCTCTTTGAGGGGACTTTGGCCGCAGGTGTCTTTATTATCCTTACTCCCTGTTGTAGTTATCCTTTGCCACTACTGTTTGGGCTCACCACCCACAAATTTAGACAACAGAGTGCAGTGTGTCTCGGTACCATGACTCAGCAAATCACTATTGCTCTTGGACGTGTCCTCTCTGTTGGGGAAGCAGCTTGAGATCGTCCATGTTGCTAGTCAATAGCAATTACTGTATGTAATGTTGGGCTAAATGCTAACACAGTCCAAAACACCAAGCACAAGGAGAGGGGCAGATCGCTCTCTTTTCCTGGAATCCCATAGAGAGAGCGGGAGGATGCAGGTTTAAGGACACAATTAACATCCCATTGAGTGCTGCTCAGTGAGATGCTACAAACGAACCGGCTTTATGGGGTTCTTCTTAAGTGAGGCAATGTTATTCATTAAAGTGGCCTCCTCCCGGTTTGAAGCAACAGTTTTCACCAAGCTAAGCAGTTCAAGTATCTCAGGACTTTGTTCTCGAGGTACAGTAGGTCTGATCAAACATGAGATGAACGGTTGAGTGAAATCTTCTGTGGGTGATATTTCATACATGGATCCATAACACGGTTTTGTAGAGGCATAACTCCTCTGATATGTTGCACAGTGATGACAGTTTGTCCCCCTCCCACAGCTAAACTTCTGACATTTACGACTAGGCTTTGCAAGGAGCATTGTGTGTGTGTGTGTGTGTGTGTGTTTGTGTGTGAATGGAGGGGGTGGGACATATTGTCCGATGTGTGTCTGATCTGTAATAGTTGATAGTTTGCCATACACAACTGTTAGGAGCGCCTTTATCACAAAGACAGAGTTATTATCTTATTGTTGCCTCTCATGCATCACATCATCTGCACTCCATCTAGTTTTACGGCTCGTTCTTTTAATCTATCATTATTTGATGGATGAATCGCAGATGAGGAGGAGCAGTCAACTGGGTCATAAGGAAAGCTTTATTAGCATCGCAAATAATGTCAACAGGTAGTCCTTGAAAAGAGTCATAAGACATGATGTGGAGCAAGCTTTTGAGTCAGAGAAAACTAAGAGGTGACTTTGCGAATGTGACTGAATCAAATGCTGAAGTAGCGTGGAGCACATGCTTATGGACATCTCAACAGAGAAATAAGATAAAAACAAAAAGACAAAAAAAAACTCACCGATAAAAAAATGGACTTTTGTAAGCTTCCGGACAGCATTGCTTTCAAAGTCTGAGGCAGCTCATCTAGTGTGTAGATAAATAAATTGTTTTTTTAATAAACAGATAATTCTTTAAAAACTACTTTGTTGTTTTTATCACGTTGTTGTTGTTGTTGTCGCCCCAAAGACATATCCTTGCTCAAACAACAAAGTCATTCTCATCCCTGCTGGAGGATTAGACGTTTTGATGAGATGCAACATGAGGGGTGCAAATTTATTTCTTTATTTATTTATTTTTCTAAACTTTTAGTCTTTTTTTGGAGGCTGCCCATTTGCTGCCATGACAGGCACACACCTGAGGGGGAGTTTGTCCTCCTCAAACCACCTTTTTGTTCCTCTTCCTCAGCTGTGACTCATTCCAGGTGTGCATGTGTTTGTACCTCCACATGGGAGAACCAGAAAGGGGGCAGAGTGTGTATCTATCCGTGTGTGTAGTTTCTATTGATGTTAGTCTGTGGGTCCTTCTGTGGCCGCTTACGTGTCAGCAAACAGAAACCCTCTAGCCAGAGCCAAATAAAGTCTTCTCACCTGTTTGCGGCCTCTGAGGAAGACTGTGTGTGTCACCTCCCAGGGGCCTGTGCCACGCTGACTTAGAGCTGCTGGAACAATCAGCTGACTCTACACGGCCGGGTCAGATGGAATAGCTCTCCACCCTTCTGAGTCCTGAATCAGAAGCGGTTTTGTCTCTTTATATATGCCGAACGACTCTAAGTGGGGTGACTTCTGAGGATAAGTATGGCGCATGAGTTGAGAGAGCTTTAGACCGGGCCTTGGACTTTGCGTATGCAAATTGTTTGAAGGGTGTTCAGTGATGGAATTTGGGGATTAGGGGCCGGGCTGCAATGAGACTGTTTGACTTCTATTTCCATACCATCCTCCTCTGTTCACATAATCTGTGGCCAAAGGTTAGGAGGTTGGTGTTTTGTGGGTTTGACAGAAATGAAGAGGGAAGGCTTTGGATTCTAGTCTTAACATGATACCCATAAACTGTAAAAAAGTGTTTGCACCAAATTTAGTTTTTAAAGTTGCACTGCTACTTTTATTTCCTGTTTTTTGGGGTCATCATACTGGAGACCAGGGGGAAGGAAAAAAAACTCATCATCATCTACCCTTCTTTTTCTTTTGCCTTGGGTTGCAGAGACTTTCTAGGATTTACAGAGCTGGAGTGTGAAAAGGCCTCCTCGTGGCTTTTCACCAGACCCACTCTCCCCACCCCGATTACTTCAAGTGAGTTCACCTGTGCCTGAGTGGTCAGTGTGGAGCTTCTGGGTGTTTTGTCGCAGTGAATCCTTGCTCTTGACAGGATTGTGCTTTCATTTAGTGTTGGTATGTGCATATTTAATTGCTTGGTGTTTTTTCAGGTGTTTTCAATCGGGGCGGGGCCAGGGTGTGCTTTAAAAAGAGCAGTCAATCATTTCCAGGTGTGTTAGGGGGGCTGGTAACAGCCTGCTGTGAGGCTGGAGTTTGTCGGACCTTTTGTTTAGTTGCTTTTGTTCATTTCCCTCACATTTTTTTCGATTCATAAAATAAACCCCTCATTGAAACCTGACTGCTAACCTGGCTGTTGTTCTGGTGCTCAATCCCATGGTTGAGAAGAACAGAGAGATCCTTTTTAAGGTAGATTTACAAGGAGTAATTCTACATTTGGTGTAAGAAGTGGGATTTTTTTTCGTCTCTGTGCATCTGGTGTTGGGGTGACCTGGTGTCCTCTGGCTCTCCAGTGTCAGAGGGAGATGCAGAGTGAACCAAGTCAACCTCAGGGGCTCTCCCAGCCGAGCAGGAGTCTAGAGAGGACCAAGGAGCAGAGAAGCGGGAGTACGGGAGCTTCTACCTCTGACTGAATGCTGTAGACTTTATTACCTCAGTAGTTCAGAAAATCTCATGCAAAACCTTCAAATGTGCTCGAGCTGCCTCAACACCATCCCTCAACTGCACATACAGTACATGCAGTAAACATGGTAACTCCCATTGGGGTCTCGCCAGCCCCTATAGATGTATTATAGCGGGGTCAATATCATTTCTTTTTGAGCAGGTGGAAATGGCTTTCATAAATATTCTATTATGTTTACGAATGCTCAGACAATAAATATTCCCATAACATTCAGCTCAGAGGGAGCAGCTGCAAAACAAGGGCTTTATGAAAAGCTTCTCTGACCTTCGCAGTAACCTTTAAAAGCCCGGCTTCCACTATGATGAACTCATAACCTTTGCAGTCTGCTTTCGATTAAAGATTGCACCGAAACCAAGAGAGTAATTCAGATGTCACTTTTGTCTAACGGTATTTTAATGCTCCGTTTTGACCCCAGTTGACCTCTTCTTCAAATTTCAATCATGCTAAATGCAGGGACAGGTATAATCCACGTTGTAAACCCTCCAAAAATCCTGTCAGTTTCCAAAAGTTGGATTGAAAAACAACAGATTTTTACGAGGCAAGTTTTTAGGTCAGTTTGTTTCTGTGAAAAGTGTAGAGTATATTTGAGTAGGCTTCTGCCCGAGATCTATCTTTGGGATTATTTCCGGGATTATTCAAGGTAGAATGAATAAACCGTCATTTGAAAAATACAGAGCCGTGACAGACATGTCGTTTCTTTGACTGATCATGAGCGTAGGCGGTATAATCTTTGCACACTACTCAGATTTATTGAGACGGAATTTAATCTGATTATTTCCAGTATATTTGGTCTGTAAAAATAAAAGATGCTGTACTCCATCAAGAAGTCTTCGCCTAGATTTCAGCTGTGATTGATGACTAGAAATCATTATCATAATTTACCCTACGTTACCCTAATGACTACATTTAAATAGCGATGCTCTCTGTTATTGTATTTGTAGATCATTTTGAGATTTTTAAAGAAACTTGAGCACATCTGTCATCTTTTTCAAGGCTCATTACCTCGATTGAGTGGGTTATGTCTTTGGTCCATTTATTCATGTCAAAATATAACAGCCATTTATTTCCAGTCTTGGTGGAATCCAGTTGAAGAGTGGAGGGGATCCAGAGCTGTCTCATAATCAGCTGTTTGTATTTAATGTTGAGACTTTTGGAAATGTATCCAGATTTATAAAATGGTTTTCTTTTCACTTACTCAGATCATAGTAGGACGAGCTCTTGGCTTTTTTTAGTGCAGGTCTATCATCTTTGAGGACCCCTTTAGTTTGAAAAACCTGTCATATGTAATACATCAAAGCTGGATGTAAAAAGACTGAATTTATAGATAAAACTCCATTGAAGCAAATAATCTGTTTGCATCAGTTTTGGCTCTAACTTTAAAACAAAACTGTATTTTTGTGTCTTTGCTGACCTTGTGCATTTCACAATGTGAGCGGTGTTTCCCATGATAAATTCTCCTAGTAATTTTTTCAGCAGCGGTGCTTCTATTGGAGGGGATCGGGGGCTTGATGCTCACACACATGCGGATGGTGATGGAGATGCTCTTCTTGTAGCCTGTTGCTCAGGTCAGTCTTCAACTAGAAATTTTTGCTGTTACCACCACTCTCTTGACGCTCGAGGAGCTATGCTGTTACGTTGAAGTTACGTTAAATTACGTTACCCGCCCTACTCGCTATATAGACCGTGTATAAGCTTGAATGCTACCCTTAACATTAATAGAAGAGGGTCCAACAGGATTTGATCTGTTCATTGATGACTCACACAAGTTGAAAATAACGTTGTGTGTGTTGTTGCGCTCACACAGTGTGAGTAGAAATCATTAGTGGCACATTGACACTAACGATCACGTGAAATTTCAGTCGCGGCACACGTAATTAAGTAGGGGGAACATTGTACTTGTGATTTCTTCCCACAGAAAATGGAAATATAGTCATTTATAAAAGACAATGGTTACCTTAGTGGTACATATTAATGCTACTGACCTTTTTTTACTTCATAGCTTGTTCTTAAGGTAGTGGAAACTTTCAAAAATGAAACTTTAAAACTGTTCTACATAGTTTAAAGTAAGGTCACTTTTTAAATAACATATTGCACTGTTTATATGTCACATTAAACAAAAACCACCTTATATTTTTGTATCTCATCTGTATTATTCTGACCGTGACACATTTTGATGACTTGGCACTTTTTTGTAACAAGTTAACTCCCCCTATATTCAACCTTTTTATGTTTTGCAAATCATGCTAAGTCAAAGCCTCTGTTTCTTTGCTATTCAATAGATGCTTTGATTTTCTTTTTCGTGCACATGCAAATACCGAAATACTTCAGTGGCGTCCAATTTGCATCCAATCTGAACCAAAAAGAGCAGCTGCACCGGCAGAAAGTTGAGGCTGTGGCCGGCCTGCTGTGGCTTTTATCTCTGTCAGAAATCCCTGTTGTTGTACGTGTGTGTTTGTGAGCGCACGCTCCTGTATGACCATGACGTCGGGAGACTGTAACATCCATGCTGGTCATGCTCCGTCGATAGAGTATGTTGTTGCGTTGCAGCATGAGATAAGAGGATCAAGGAGATACACCGCTGCCCTGGATGTGCGCTGGTGTGTTATCTCATTTTTTGATCTTTTTGAGAGAGCAAGCTTGCGATCTTTGCCTCTAGGGGCCCTCTCAATATTTCATGACTGTGCAATGTATCTTTTGACACTGAAATATGCTGTGAATTAAACATGACTGACTGCATAATCAAGAGCTTTTAATGCAAGTAGCAGGGCAAGCCTCTTTGGGTTTCGCCTTTTAATTAGAGTGTAAATGGCTGCAGATTTTGGTCAAGTTAATGAGGTGTAGATTTACTCGGTGTAGTCAATGCACTTCTTAGAAAGGAGACCTCTCTGTCTGTGCTTTTTTTTTCATTTTTTTATATAACCACTTCAATCATTTGTGAAGCAGGTCCACTACTCCATTGAGGCATAAGGGAGCAATAAAAAGTTGTTTGTAGAGTATTAAATGCAGAGGCAGACTTTAGAGGCAGGCCTTTATTTTCCTGCAGAACATTTATTGTAGGAGGCAGTCATGGTGCTAAATGGTCAGATTAGACATAAAGATGTGATTCAAAAATTGTAAATAAAAGGCACAGTATATTTAAAGTTGACCACTTTCAAATTTAAGAAGTGAGCAGATATAAGATTTCCGTAACACTTTACAATAACCATAAATTATAAATGGTAAATAGACCATTTATAAATGGTAAGCAGCTGGTTTATTAATGTTTAATCATCATTTATAAATGGTATATAGACCATTAATAAATTGTAAATTTTACAATTTTAAAAACCTAACCCTAACTTTACAATAACCATCTAAGTAATGTTTATGGATAGTTTATAAACCAAATATTAACCATTTACAAAGTGATACTGACACATTTTAATCTAGATGTTTTACAACCAATATTTTAACCATATACAAACTTTTAATTGTCCATTAATAATTAATGGACAATTATTAATTATAATTTCATTGCTTGGTAATGGTAAAGAAACCATGAACTTACATGAATAAACTATCTATTTGCCATTTATAATTGGTCTATAAGCTGTTTTTAAACATTAATAAACTATCTATTTGCCATTTATGGATTATGGTTATTGTTAAGTGATACCAAGATTTCCACATATCACTACGCTCAAGGGCAAAATCATTGATGCACTTTATGAGCATACTTGACATCTGATCACACTCAAAAAATACTAAATCATGCATTAATTTTGGCTCATCTGAGAAGAAAGTGTCAACAGTTATCCAAAATCATAATTTAATACAACTACAAGATTGAGTGATTTGTACAATAGTCCTATTTTCCCCTAGCTCATCTGTTTTGAGTCAGCAACACAGGAAACTGGATAAATGAAATATTCCTGTTAAAAAATCTTGAGAAATTCATTAAGAACAAAATAATGTGAGAAGTATCCGTCTAAGAGTCAAACTGGAAAATTAAAGTGGAAAAACGAGATCACAGGCTGATCCAACTTCTGTCATTTTCCTCAAGATCATTCAAAACGTGGCTCAGTGTTGTGTATGATCTCCACATGCATCTTCACACTCCCTACAACATCTGAGCATGCTCTTGATGAGACGACAAATGATCTCCTTGGGGGATCTCCTTCCAGACCTGGATCAAGGCGTCACTCAGTCTGTGATGGCACCACAGACGTGATGTCCCAGAGGTGCTGGATTGGACTCAGTTCTGGGGAAACAGGCAGGCCAGTCAGTAGCTTTCACATCTTCATCGTCCAGGAACTGCTGACACATTCTAGCCACATGAGGATGGGTATTATCTTGCTTCAGGGCTCACTGTACCAGGATATCCTGACAAAGGGGTTTGTGGCTTCTTACTTCCATGTGCTACCGCTTAAGGAGAGGACAATGGAAAAATGCAAAACTAAAACCAAGTTTCATTTGGTCAAAGTTTGCAGCAGTAAAACAGTGTTTAGCTTTAACTCTGAGCAAGACTTAAACCCAGTGTGCATGGCAAAGAGCCTTTCTTTTTCCATTACCTCCTGAATGTCACCCCAAGCAGGTTTTATTCTTCTTTTAACTACCTCAGTTGAAGCTTTGTCTCTGAGATTTCAATAATGCTGCAATTCATGCAGACACTGAAGGATACCTTTGGGGAAGAAAACAGGCTGAGAACCTCTTACATTTCCCTCAAAAAATCCTTCTCTAACTGCAGAGTAAAAGGCCTTTTTGTGGAGTTTTATTTAACTCAAGTGGATGGCTTCAAAGGAGCAGTAATCCTTTTGTAAAATAGCAGTTGATCGATTTACAGTTAAAAAAATACAACAATTAACACCAAGAGATTAAAAATAGCTGACTATGCGTGAACATTAAGATTTTAAAATTAAGCTAGGTAAAATACGAATTTACCATGAAGTTTTGGAGGTCTGTCCAGCCCTCTAATATAAATATTGCGATTAAAACTTAAATAAGTCATGTATAAATCCATTACTTCATACACATTAAATTATCTTAAAGACCCACTCCGAAGAAAAGCGTGTTTTCCTTGTTGTCTACGTGTTTATATGGCATTTTTCTGATGCTACAGGACATATAATGAGAAAACTAAGTGCGAAATTACATTTCTGGGTATTTCTGTATTCAATTCACTGTGAACCTCCCACAGACCCAAATTATAAGTTCAGACTCAGTGAGATTTTCTATGTCACAAACCCAAGCTCCGCCCCCGTAGAAGAAGTAGATAGGACCATCGCAGAACAAGTGTTTGCAGTATTTTGTGGATAGCAATGCTCGTAAGAAAGCTAATTATGATGCTAACTTTCATAATGTCACTAAAACACAAGTGCTCAAGAGTTGAATAGCTCCGATGTTACCTGCCACTTCTACTACACCGGCAATGTTAGGCTACAAGGTAGCGTGAAGAGGAGTGTACAAAGCAGCGCTGTCTCCGCCCACGACTCGGATGCGAATTACCAATAAGATACTGGAGCTCTGCAGAAGAAGAGCCTTTGAAAATGACACAGGTAGGAGGACTGAGGAAGATATGTTGCAGATGACTAAAAAATCCCATTTATCAGCCAAATTGACCAACTGATTTACCAGTCTGTCTCTCATGTAAACCTTTAACAAAAAGTTGTCTCAGGGAATCACCTGTTTGACACATTAAACCTTAAATAAATCTGTTCTGTTTTTGTCTAATTTCCTTGACTGCACACAAGTAGAAAGTTTTATTTCATAACTTATCTTCTCTCTTCAGTTCACTAAAGTCCTTGCAGAGTGTACTATGACTAATCTGAAGGCACAGAGCTGTGTCTGCGTACGATCCTCCAGCAGCAGCAGCAGCAGTAGTCATAACATTGAAAAAATAGCCCAGAGCATCAAAGAGGTGACGGCGTTCAAGTGGTTTCACGGCCTTGCTTAAGCTAATTTTCCTTTTTATTCATAGCGATTAGAATATAATGTATTAGACTCAAGGCTCTTTGTGGCACCATGAAGTAGTGAGTGGCCAACAAAGTTTTTGATTTATCATCTTTTTGAAAGGAACAAGGAGCTCCTCTCAGATCTATATATTCAGAACATTTGTCATGACGCAAAGGGCTGAAAAGACCACTTGGTCAGGGTTTTTCACATTTTAATGACCCTCTCTGGGACTTACTCCCTCATTTCTCTCTCCTTCCTTCTTCCTCCATCTCCCTACTCCCTCTGAGGAGAGCTCCCAGAAATATGGATAAGGATTGCCCTGCAGTGAATACATGACCTCATTCCACATGTGTCACTGTGATCTAATAGGCCTGGACCCTATGAGTGAGGATCCAGAGGGTTTCAAATTGTTCCTACTAGATTTTACCTCTTTGGCCGGTGTATGGGTGAGGATAATGAAGCAGCGGCTGCAGAAAGGGTGGAGGTACTTAAGAGTAAAAGTCCCTCAACCTCCCTGAGCTCTGGGACCAAAGAGGTCAGATCAAGTCCCAGAGTTTAGCCATGAAACCTGAAAAATTAAACATGGCAGACGTGTTCGGTCTCTAACTGTAGATTACATCACCAGGAGAACACGCCACAGATTATTTATTTAGTTAACTTGAATGCTTCTGTGTTTGGGAACACCATCTCAAAAAGAAGAACACTCACTTTGATTTAATTATGATAAAGCGCTTTAAATACTGACGAAAGAAAATAGCATATTAAGTACCTCAGACAGTTTTGTGCTGCAAGTTTAAGGAAATAAAAGCTGACATCGTGCCACTGGGATTCTGCTAAGAACCTGCACTCACAACCTCTGACAGCTGGAAATTAGCCAGGAAGTGCATCTAACTAGCAACCATCAGCACTATAAACCAATTAGAGGGTGACAGGAACCGAGTAGACGTTAGCACAAAGCATTTGTGCAATCTTCCTCACCTTTTACTCGCCCCCACAAAGGAGATGCCACCTCTTTTTGTTGGTAATTACCACTCTTTAAGTTACCACAGATGAGGAGGGGAGTTATGTTACTGAATAAATTGCACTGAATTAACCCATATATGTTTGCAGGCTGATGTATTTTAATTAGATTTGTTTAACCCGTGGCTTATTATGCAGAGTGTTACAGTATATCTATGCTGTCGTCTTGTTTACTTTCTGCAGAGCTTGTAAAACTGTGCTGCTCTTTTCAATCATGTTGACTTAGAACTGCCATAAAAAGCAAGTAGTTGACCCATACTATGTAAATGACATCAATCTGAGCCCATTCACCAAGAAACCGCAGCACTGTTTAAATTTTGTTGCTCAATTTATGTTTCACGAAGCTGTCAAAGTAACTTGTCAATTTCAATTAATGAATTATCGCACTCTGAGGTCAAACATTACTGAAGACATTAGTTTGAGGGTTGTATCAAGTGTTTGTAGCTGTTCAGCAAGATTTCACTCTTGTTACACTTGCATTTCTGTAAAATCTGGATTTCTTGCCTTAGTTGGATCATTTAATCCACAGAGCGACCTTTCCATCTTCAAAAAACACAATAGATCATACCGTCGCTATGCAGATGATACCAAGGTTTCCCATCTGGTTCAATCCCACCTCGAATGCCTCCCCCATGTCAAACAGCTGATAGCAAATAACTGATTGCAACTTAATGGCAGTAAGACAGAGGTCTCCTCGGTCTTCCCAATGCCACAGGGGGATTAACTCATCACTTAGGGCCCCTGGTATCTCACACACAGCAACACACTCAGACAAAAAGCTTTGGTCCCAGAGCTCCCAGATCATCGGACCAGCTGTTAATGGCTCTTCCTTACCGAGTGGAAACCGGATAATCTATGTCTCCCTGATTAATAATGAGGTTAACTGCAATTAATTACAAAACCTGTAATTAGTAAGATGTTTTCTCTAATTTCTTGACAGCTCTAATATTCAATCGACTTTGTTTTGACAGGTTCGGTTCCTAAAACTCTTCAGCTGTCTGCTTGTCATTATAGTACCACCAACATTTACATGTCAGCCCACTCTCTTTGAACAAAGCGCAAGTCTTACAAAAGACACTTCTGTGTACTTTCACACAAAGGGAATGTCAACCCCGCACGTTTTTAGCTCCCACTCATCCCACGGGTCTCTTTAAGGAAAACCTCAGTGTTATTCAGTGCACTCTAGGGATGTAGCGGTAATAGGTTTAATGGTAAATCGTGCTAAAAATATTGATAACGTTTACCGTTTTCATTTCAAAAATGTGTTTGTGTGTGTGCAATGAATCAGCCGTGAGATCGCTGACAATAACTCCGTTATCAATCAGCTGTGTGAACAAGGACAATAACTCGCTAATTAATCAGCTGTGTGATCGCCGACAGTAACTTGCTAATGCTAATACTCGGCACGCTCGCTCTGCGGTGCGTTGCACGTACATATGCAGATAAATATGAATCTGAGGTAGAGCCATGAAAGAAACAGGCGGCTTTTTCTTTTTTTAGCCGTGGCGGTGCGCCGTGATCGATTGCATGTTGGGGAAACCTTGTGTTAATCATCCCAGCCTTATCCGAGTCTCCTGAATTAGCTGCGCAGGCACACTGAGAAGCCTACAATTTGGGTTTAAACCATACACTGTATATAGAAGAGACAGCGTCTGCCTCCTAGCTGGGTGAAGCCACTCCGAGAACAGCACCCTCTGTTGATGGGCTGCAGTATAGGTCATTAATCCTTCCTACACCATCAAAGCTTATGGGGCTGTGGACAAACTTTAGAAATGGATTACACAGAATATAAATTTTTCTCCCCCCTGGTTGCGATGTTGACATGTAGTTATTTGTAGTCCTCTTTTTTCTGTGCAGCATCGTTTTTAAAAGTTATAAAGGGGTTTGTGTTTTCGATGATTGACACTTAAAACAGCCTATGGGTGTACAAAGATTGTGTAGCTCACCTGAGGGATACGCTGTTTGAGCCAAGAGTCATCACAGCGACTCTCAGCAACTCTCCCGTCGAATGCGCACAATGCTACTGTGCAAGTGGTGGAGTGCGTACAATGCTACTGCGCAATGTTGGTTTCAGGAAATGAAGAAAAATTGCGGAAATACTGAGAGCTTTTTGGCTTCAAATCCGTATACTGGCAGGATCAGCCGTGAGATCGTTGTCCACAGTAGATATAGTCTATGGTTTAAACTTTCTATTAAGTTTGAAATAGAATCATGTGGAAGGAGGAGACAACTGCGCCAAAGACATCCATCAGCCCTGTAAGAGGACTGAGTTGGAAGTATGGGCATATTTTGGGTTTTATAGGAATGTCGAGGGAACGTTTAGTTGAAGACAGTAATCCTGTCTAGATATGATGAAATGATGAAAACAAGGTCTTGATTGGCGCTAGTTAAAAGCATCAAAAATGCCGCAATCAATGCCTTTGAATACATTTTTAAAAATATTACTATTATCCCGAAAACCATGATTATTTTGGTCACAATAACTGTGAGGTAGAATTTTTATACCATTACATACCTTGTGCACTCTTCCTAAACTCAGGAAAAGATTTCTGTTCTTGTCTCCTACCGTCATAATAAAAAACTGATCCCTATCATGGAACCTTTTTGTTGCTGAATGTGATTTGATTGGAGACATCTTTGTCTCTAAGAGAAGGGGAAGGCTGTGAGACAACTGAAAGGTTGAATCGGATTAGCATTTGCAGCACATGCATCTATTGTGTGCTCCACAATAGAATAGATCAACATTCCATTAAACATCATAAATGCCAAAATTGACTTTTTGTTGAGGAAGCGACCAGCGCTGTGTGAGGAGTTTTGAGAGCGCTGCAAAAGTGCAGTGCTGCCATTACTTTTCATGAAAACACTTAACAATATTACAGTGACAATCTAATAATTAAAAAAGAGATACCACAAAGGCTGATATTAGAATCGAGATTAAAAAAATGATAGTTATAATACATTTAAACCAGATGTCATTATTGTCACTGTTATGAATGCATACCTAATCCAAAAAGATCCATTTCTTCCCTTCTTATTATGCTCCCCAGTGTCACAGTCGTGTGAATATAGATGGTTCATTAAACCGCATGCGCTCCATGACAAAAAACAGAAAAACCTTGAATACATAAGAACCAGCTGTTTTACATATAATGGAGCTACTCAGAGACTGTAATACCCTCTTTCCAATTGGTATCAGCCGGTGAAAGTCAACATAAAACTAGCTGTTTGATGCAAATGAAGGGCAACACAATGTAAACAGGCATATGCTAAACCCTCTGAATGTGCAGTACACAGAGAATGTACCTATCTATTGTTAGTGATTGCAATTAAGCTATATTCAAATTGGACCACTCTCCAGATATAGTGTCTATGATGCAGTGAAGAGAGACACATAATGACAATGTTGGAAGAGGACATCTTGGCCAGATGCTGCATGAATTATGTACTGAATGACAAGAGGATGCTGGCTGAAGCATAATTAGTCTTTAATGGGTATGTCAGAAGTTCACAGTGAAACAGCAGTGCACTGTGGCTTCCTGCGTGTAGAGAGGCTTGAATTCCCTAATCTCTTCAATATAGTAGTTCTAACTCAAAAACAGGACATTACAGAGTGTATCGCAGAATAGATTAAAACGGTAACAGTACAATATTATCTGAAGGGTTGTAAACAAAGAAAAAGAACCTGCAGATAAAAGCATGCCTAACAGGAGACACACCATCCATCCACACTCTAATCCTTAACCCGGCACACTCTGACAGAGATAAACATGTTTTGTTGCAGCAGCCTGCGCGCCGCGTGAGGCCTTCATTAGGCCCTGTGTAGCCGTGTCCATTGAAGCGCTGGGATCTCTCCAAGATTGATTGTGGCGGACCACAGATCAGTTAGGAGACCTCCCCCACTTTCTGCCACTGGTCCTAACCCAATAGTCCTTGCTCAGAAGGTGCTCAGGGACCCCCACTCTACACAGAGGCAATATCGCCTGATAAATTGCCTTTCCTGGCACGATTATACACCGGGGTGTTCCCAATGGTCTTTGGGAGCGGTGTTTGAGAGCTTCGGCATTGTGGGAAGGTAGTGAAAGTGGGGCAATTTGTTACAAGAATGGACAAGCAATGATGGGTTTAAATCATGTAGTACACAGGTATTAAATCAAATATGGGCATTAGAGCTAAACATTACACATCTGGAGTTTATAACCTACATGTTTGATGTCCATACTTACAGGAGTCTTGCGATACCCTTTTGAAAAATCAGTCTCGGCCACCTTTGAGTTGCTTTGGATGATTTGCAGTTCAAAACAGACAGTCCCTGTATTGTATGACCTGTCCCTGGCTAAAGCTGTCCCCGTAAATGTCCCCGATGTAAGCATTTTACGAACGAGAATGAAAATGTTGCATGTAGACTAGAACAACGGTTGTTACGGTAGCCGAGTAGGTAGGAAGCGCAAGTAAGCATGTTGTGCACAGCCCTGTGGGACGTGCGCTGCTTCTAAGTAGTACCGAGTACTACCGATGTTGTCTGTGTTTACGCAGCCCCTTTACGCAGGTTTGTCGAACTTGTTTATAAAATCCTTCAAATGTCCACGGTTTTGTACATAAGTTTCGATTTTGTGTCACTTGGACTTACTGAGTCAGAAGCGCGTAAAAGACACTTGATCCAACCTGAAAAACTCTCAAAATTAACTTTGTGTGACTCCATGATTCCAACCCCGCGTAGTCGTGTCCTCTTTTTGGGAAGTCAGAATATGGCCACCCTACTATCCTATTACTTAAGACTTTGGATACAAAAAGTAGGCCTGTCTGCACTAAGAGTGCATTGTTCTTGATCAATAATAAGGAAATATGAACCCCCTATAATAGGATGGAGTCCGGGCTTTCAGCTTAACTTGAAATTTCATTGGGATTCAGTGATAAAAATAAAACTAATAAAGGAGAAATTCTTGGCAAAGTGAACTGGAAGTAAATTCAGAGTATAGAGAGAAAAGTTTCTCACAGATAGCCATGAAGAAAAGTCCATATGTGTGTTTTTTTTTTTTTTAGCTATGATCCTTTTTCTAAGACACCATCTCTCAAGGCCATCCAGGCTGTATTGCATCAGAACAGTGGATACAGTGTGCAACAATCTCTTTGTCTCTGTTGCACTTTTCTTCCTTTATTTATTTGGCTGACACACAGTAAAGGGGTATATCCAGACTGTTGAATCCCCGACCTGCTGTTACAGTGTTCTTTGCCCTGAGGGCACTTCAGAAAAGACCTTGTTGCATTTCCAAACCTCAAGTAACTCAAGCCCAGAGTGTCTGAAAGCTAGCTGACAGTCAGTCAGACAGACCCTGGAGTATTTAAAAGTTATTTTTTTTCCAGAGGGTTGGCCCTTACACTGCTTCACTGAAACAACGCACAGTGATGTGGCTATGAGGGGAATGTCTGCCAAACTGTTGGGTGCACTTTAATTATGGAGAGGGATTGTGCAACCTGCCTGACTGGCCTGACATTATTCAAAAGTAATTAGTTGCTTGTTATTTTAATTATGGATGAAAGGACACAAGAAGAGAATTAACTGGAATGGGATTGCTGCGTTGCCAGAAGGAGGCACTGAGAGAAGGGATTTTTACACACTACAGCATCTTCACTTTTTGGTCGCAACCTGCACGGAATCAAAATTCCTGTGATATTGAAGTCTTCTCCCATGCTAGTTTGTTCCAATCTATTATGGATGGGCTGAAATTGCACGTTTCTCAATCACGCCAACCTTTTCCAAAAATAGACAAAGTTTGACGTGTGAAGGAATCTGGTACGCACAAAAAGAGATATTTCTGTTACCCTTGTTTCCTGCTTTTTGGTATTCTTTCATGAATATACAAACATTTCACAGGTATGTAAAAGAAAACAGGAAGATTAATGAATCGTGTCGGTACGGTATTCTCCGCGGACAGAGCGGTTTCTTACCCTCAGGGACTGCACCGCTGTAGACCCCCTTATGACCGCCTCAGCCACTAATCTTTCCAACAGTATCTTGATTCCCCTCTGGAGCTCAAGATAGATTGCTTTAATTAATCACCAATGTGCTCAATGCACACATAACAAGTGCTAAGCACTGGCCAGGTCAGCCGTTAAGGGCTCCGGAGGGAAAAGTCTGGAGAAATCTGGGAATCACGGAGGTAGAATTTACACATGGGAAAGTGAGCAATCACTGACAGCTGATGCAGTAAATATGCTGCAGGGATGTGCACTGAGAAAACAATGGCACTGTGTGGGTGTGCAGTGTGTGTATGTGTGTGCATTCATTGTCATGAAGATGCCTTTGTCTTTGTTGTACAGATTCTTATCCGAGCTGGCTTGTCCCCCTTTGTAACTCACCATCAAATGATCTGACGGGATAATTTCATATTATGGATAACAGATTCAAACTTTCATGCATTTGCTGTAAAATACTCACATACATATGTGTGTGTGTGTGTTTGCACAGTATATATTATAAGTGCACATAGGCATGCAAATATGCTCGTCTTGCTTTTTCTCTCCTCTTCCTGTACCTACACGTCTGATGTAAACTTTTTTATTTCAACCAAGTCAAAGTAATTGCTGTAAAGAGATCACATCTAAGTTTTTCTTAATTGTATGTATTTATGCGAGTTTTTAATGAAGCCAGTTTCACAAACACCAGATAAAGCCTGGTTGTTTTGCAGGATAGCTGTTTCTGTGTTTGGAAATTCTGTTACTCTTTCATAACCCTGTGGGACATAAACTTGTCGTGGATCTACAATCACATTCAGAAACAAACCCACCCAAATAAGATACCAAAGCAATGTAATCAAGTATAGTATATCTAGGGTGACCATATTCTAAATCCCCCAAAAGAGGACACAACTACGCGGAGGCGGAATCATGAAGTCGTGCGTAGTTAATTTTGAGAGTTTTTCAGGTCGGATTGAGTGTCTTTTACGCAATTCTAACTCAGTAAGTCATGTCCAGACATGTCCGGGTAAAAGAGGACGTATGGTCACCCTAACCTCCAATTTCCGCTGCATCCAGAACGGATACGACAAGGCCATATCTGCCGATCGCAGCTGATTGTAGCCATTTAACTTGATGTGTCAATTTCCACTGGCTTCTTTCGCCGGACTCCACGGCTGATTCTGGATGCCGGAGCATGCTAGATAAATTCCACACAGATTAACCCATGCTGGAAAGGAAGTAAGACAGAGACACAATATAAAACATCCGGCTTCTTTTCAAAATAAAATACTCCCTGTTTCAGACGGATCCTATTTCACACCATGCAAACGGGCGGAGACGAACAAGTAAAAGGTTTGTAGACAGCATTCAATCCCGATGATACCATGGATGAGGAGATGCTGATTTTAGTCTAGAAGTAGATTTCTTCTTCTGGAAGGACACAATTAGGTTATGGCTAATATGGTTAGCCTATGTGGCTAAAGACAACTTGTTATTGCGCGATTGCACGTGAATCCGCGGGTTCTTGTGAGTTATTGCGATTCCTGCTGTCCGTAATCCGCTACGAAATTGGCCTCACAAACAGATCCGGTAGGAATTGGCAAATTGCGAAAATTGCCACTGTTCTGAATCGGAGCCATTCCGGATGTGGTGAAAATTGGGGCTTAGTATATCATACTTTGTTACCGCCTACCACTGGTTAGCAGTGTTGTAGCTCTGAGTAATAAGCTGCTTGAAATATGGCTCTAGTTCAATGTGTGGTTGCTAATGATCTCAATGCAGTTTCTATTTTCTTGCTTGTATAGTTTGGCTGTGTGTGTGTGTGTGTGTGTGTGTGTCTAAGTGTGTGTGTATGTGTATGTGTATGTGTGTGTGTGTGGTTCTTCCATCCAAGGCTCATGAAACGATTGTCATTTGACCCGTACTCACTTCTCAGCTCCAGAGCCAATAACAGAAGTCTTTGTTAATGGGCTTGATTATTTGCTGTGACTGTTCAGGCTTGTCAAGCAGGGAGGTCATACACGGTCTAACTTACACTCTCAACTCTCTTACACACACACACACACACACACACACACACACAGTGGTCTAATTCCTCCTCGGCATTACATCAAGCTTTTAGAAGGCAACAGCGGCGGTTAAAGCATGACAGCTCCCCTGGGACCCTCAGTGAAACTTAGCAGGGCGCTCTTTGTGACTACAGATTACCTCCTATTGCATTTCTTTTTCTGGTGACTGAAGGCCCGTCCTGCCGTCCTCCAGCCCACACCTTGTCTCTTTTCCTAACTTCGCTTCTTCTCTTTCTTTTTCTGTCTCCATGTCTATGTATGTATCCGTCCATAAGCGCCCAGTCCTTCCTCACCCTCCAGGTACCTATCAGTCCAACGATTTCTCCTCAAGCTCCTGTCGGCATTTGGCATGAAGTTACAAGGAGTCAATCCCCTCGGAAACCCGCTCTGTCAATCCCAGATGCTTTGTGGGAAATAATTAGGACTTTCATTAGCATCGAGGAGCAGGGCTCCATTCGTTACCTGCTTAGGCGAGGCTCCCCATAATTGGCGTCTGGAGCTTGAGAGGCTCACCTCCCCTGACACCAGTCTCAGAAAACTAGATGTCTTAGATGCCATGTTTTTTTCCCAGGCCCTATCAAGCTAACACAGAGGAGCTGCTTCCTTCCCTTGTCTTTTCTCCAGATAGCATTTAAAAGTTTGATACCCCTCTTTTTTTTTTCTGTCTCTCGGTGCCATTTCCAGCAGCCACTCAGAACGAGGGCCGCCTGTTCTGTCTTTTGGTATTTCATGCTGTCATTCTCCAGGCACCGATGTGAAAAAAGAGAAGAAGGTACACCGAGTCTCTTTTTTGACATGCTGCCAGCGAGGAACTTTTGAAAAACTTTGGAGGTGTTGAAAATAGCAGCGGCATAACCCACACATCCTGTTCCCTGTATGCTGTGGAGCAGTCACTCAAATTCTAACTCATATGTGTTTATGTTTGGTTGATGAGCGAAAGAACAGATGTCACAGATACTCTTTTTTTTACCTGATGAAGTGTTTATGTTTGTGGGTGTTGAATGCTCAGACACTAAATAAAACGTTCCTCTTTTTAATAGGTTTACAACAAATACACGCCGCAGACTGCCTAGGTGTATTTCAGGAGTTCATTTTCAAAGTCATCATGAAACCTCGCTCGGGGAAGAATGTAAGATAAGGTGCTATATATACTTGAAAGCACTCTATATCGTACTATCTATGTAAGTGCAGTCTGAGTTTTTAAATATTGATTTAGGCTGATCTCTTGTCCTTTGGTGCTCGACACTGGCTGTGAATTTCTTTGCTAGTCAGTCTACTCCTACACCGAACAAAGATCAAGTGCTGCGTTGACGGGTTTCCAAAATCAGAAGACAGAGAGGGGTGACAGCAGAGACCCCCTGCTCTGACCTCTGGTACATGGAGCTTCTTCTTGTTTCGCTTAAAGAAATGTAGAGGAAAATGTGTTTTTGTTACCTCAGGGTACAGAGACGTGTTTCACGATAGAAGCGTGTATTTTTAAAATAACTGCCTTTTTTGTACAGTTTTGATAAAACACACGCAAGAACAGTTTTAGATGTTGAAAAAGACGCATGATTTACGACACGTGAGCACATCCAGTGTTCAGATCGGCCTACAATCCTGACCGGGCGAGCAAGAAAGGTCTCAATCATAGACTGTGTATAGAATGGACGCTGTCTGACTCCTCGCTGGGTGAAGCAACCGTGAGAACAGCACCCTCTGGTGACGGGCTGCAGTATAGGTCATAAATCCCACCTCCTCTAGCAATCCCTATGGATTTGTGGACAAACTTTAGAAATTAATTACACAGAATATCAATTTTTCTCCCCCCTGGTTGCGATGTTGACATGTAGTTACTGTCAGACTGGTTTGTGCTCAAGTCCTCTTTCTTCTGTGCAGCTCCGTTTTAAAAGTTATTTACCCCTTATACAACCTATGGGCATGTGGAGATTGTGTAGCTGAGCATCATCACAGTGACTCTCCTGCCTAATGCATACAACGCTACTGTGCAAACAGTGGTTACAGGAAGTGGGAAAAAAAGTCCCGGAAATAACGAGAGCGATTTTGCTTCAAATTCGTATAATGACGGAGGGCGGAGCCAAGTTGTCCATAGTACATACAGTCTATCGTCTTGATTCACCCGCCTTTTAAACCTAAATTATATGAGGGGGATACTTTCTTTGTATTACATTGTTGGTATTAAGACTACTGCTAACGACTGAAGTTACTTTGTAGCAGTTGGTAGCTCAGAGATGTTCTCAACAGCTCTGCTGCTGTTGCCTGGATTGCAGGACTAGAGCTCCATTTCTCTATTTTGGAGTTAGTTCAGGCTAATTCCAGACTAGGATTATCTTGATATTTAGCCACAGTGCTAACCGTCATGTAAAAGTACAGTTTTTGCCACAGTGTCGACAGGCAGCCGTAACGTGTCCTTGACTCTTTTACCTTGATTATTCTGATGTTGTGGCATGTGTGATCAGGCTGTGCTTTGGTGTTGCTTTTACCGACACCAACTTCATTGGCAATCAGCAGGTTTGAGCTACAGATTAGTCTCATTAAAGTGTTAACAGTAGGGTGACCATACATCCCCTTTTACCCGGACATGTCCTCTATTTGGGGGCAGTCTGGCTTTGTCTGGAAGAGTTTATAAAATTCTTCAAATGTCTGGGGTTTTGTATGAAAGTTTTGAATTTGTGTCGCATGGACTTACTGAATTAGAAGCACATAAAAAACATTTGACCCGACCCAAAAAACTCACAAAATTTACTTTGCGTGACCCGTGACTCTGCCCCCGTGTGGGAGTGTCCTCTTCTTGGGGATTCAGAATATGGCCACCTTAGTTAACGGGTTATTTGAAAGACTTAATATTGGTGTTTTCTTCATGTTCACCTTGGAGTTCAGGTGGAGGATGGAGCAGTAAGAGATGGCTGGCTCATCAGTAGGAAAGCAGCTTCCTCACAGAGTTCCATGTGTCTAATTTAAAGGCTGAACCTTCATTGTCCATAGTGGACAGGAACTGCTTGCTACAGCCATGGCTTATGACTCAGCTGACCAACCCACAGACAGCACAGGAGTAGGCTAATAATGAAGCCCACACAGCAACTCAGACTAAGTACACCAATAGTGCTCTGAGGGTGAGTGTCACAACACCACTCACATTAAGAGCGATTCATTCAAGTCTGAGAAAAGCAGGTCATGTGAGGTGAGACATTTGTAGAGCATAGACGAGAGAACTTTGGCTACAACCAAGTTTATTAAATCAAACAGAATAAATCAAGACATACCATCAAAAATCTAAATCAGTCTGCTTCCCACAAGAGTAACAAACCCACACCAAACGAATCCCTGCCTTTAGGTGGTGTCAAAATTATTCACTTTAGTTTCAAAGAATAATTGTGAACCAGTGAGGAGCAGAATGAGGAACAAAAGCATCGATGAAAAAGAAGCTTTTAAACCGAGAGCAGTCTTGTGGTGGGTTTTCTAAATGCTAATCAGCCCAGCCACCGGTGTATCTATCATTCATGGTGAAATGAAGGAGTGGGTGGTGGAGGAACAGCGAAACACAGCAGGCAATGAAAGTTCACCACAGTGGAGCTTATGACATAAACATTACAGCCTCTTATGAAGTTCGATCACATGGGAACTTCCAAACTGGGATGCTACTGTGTTCACACAGATTAGCTGAGGCCCTCCTTTTTTTTTTTTCATCCACAGCAGCTCTACTTAGAGCAGCTTCTGTCAATGTTATTGCAGCTGTGGATCAAAGTCTAATAGAATGAGACTTCCCATTCAGTCCCTTCTGAATAGTGTAATGTGACTATCACTTTACATCAGTGTTTGAATGGGTGTGATCTACCGACTGTGATTTGACATTCTGTCAGAAAGGGCAGTAAAACACGCAATGGTATGTAGAGATTTATTTCTACATTAATTCTGTCGTGTTGCCATTACCCAATTACTGGCATACAAACATAGAAACGCCCAATAGGAATTGTTGGATCGGATCATCATCGAATCACATTTAAATATTCCTCCTGAAAACATTTATTTTTCCCTATAATCTAATTGAAAAATGGAAACTTCCAGATAAATAAATGTTAATGTTGCTGCTGTCCCCTGTCTCTCTCTCTCTCTCTCTCTCATCCTTGCTCTTTTTTTCTCCCTCCCACTCCTCTCCCCTTCTCTCTCTCTCCCTATCTCTCTCTGTATTTCTCCCCAACTCAGCGGCTGTAGGTGGCTAACACGAGTCTGGTCCTCCTCAAGGTTTCTGCCTGTTAAAAGGAACATTTTCTTCGCCACTGTTACTCATGTTAGATGAGATCGGTCAAATCTGTCCCCTCTTATGGGGCGCTCACACCAAGCGTTAGTAAAATCATCTACTCGCTTAATTCGCACAAATCTAGATGTGCGAATAATTAGTTTTTACTCGCTTCAGTTGCGCATCAATGGTAAATTCAACGGTATTTGTTTATTTATTTGGGTCCCCATTAGCTACTACCTAGGTAGCAGCTACTCTTCCTGGGGTCCACAAGAAGACATTAAACATTTGTATACATTAAAACGATAAAAGTCCAAACAGGAGAATTATACACAATTTTAAAATCATAACTAAAACAAGAATTATGATGACATTACATTTCCAATTACAACAAACACCAATTAAAGGCCAAATTAAATGTACAAGTAATCAAAATCCCCTTTGCATGTATTGTATGTTGATCAAGTGATAGTCAAAAGTTTTTTTACAACTTACCGGGTAATTTGACCTCCTCACTCATTTGCCTCCTGGTGAGCTCCATTTTAGATACCAGTGAACAACCGTCCACTTTCATACGTCATCCAGCAACCTTTGTGCTGATTGGTTATCGTAACGCGAACATCCACTCAAGTTGAGACATTTTCAGTTCCCGCACAATCTGTGTCATTGACGCCGCCAGAGTACGACAAGCATCCAATCATGTAATCGCGTTTTTGCACTGACTTTACATGTAATTCAGTCTCATCAGTGATTTCACTCGCGCTTTGTGTGTGGAGACAGTTAAGGTTCAGTCTTGGTAATTCATCAAATTTTGAAACTTTGATAACCTGAAAAAAAACAGACACACCTAAACCCAAGACTACATCTTCAGAGCCTCACCTGGGCTGAAAAGAAAACAAACTGGGCTACTTCTTGGTGGTCCAAAGTCCTGTTTTCAGATGAATGTAAATTTTACATCATATTTGGAAATCAGGGTCCTAGAATCTAAAAGAAGAATGGAGAGGCAGAGAATCCAAGGTGCGGTCTGTTATGATTTTAGGTGCCATGTCATCTGCTGCTGTTGGGCTACTGTATTTGTAAATGTAATACTATTATAACTGGTCTGTATGGTGGAAACCCGAGTTCGACACAAAGCTTTCTTGGTTGTGAAAAATCCCTTTTACAGAGTTCCTTGAGATCTCTGTTAACCTCTGCTGCTTTTGTGTTTCTCTCCGGTTCTTTATGTAATCTAAAATAACCTTCAGATGAATAATGTGAATGTAACTTGCAGAGATAAAAAAAAACTGTGAAACACTTATAATCTTTTTATCAATGAAAAACTCACAACTTAAGAAAACTTTGAAGTGATAATGAGCAACAACACGGCTTCTGACATCGGCTCATTGTTCGACATTAACTGTTAAACAGGAAGTAACTGTCATAAAGGTCGACATATATTAACGCAATTCAGGATGACATGTTAATTTACCTCCTTATTTACACCCACACACAGTGTCTTGAAATAGGGCATCATGATTATATAATACATCAGTGTTGAACGTTTGTCATCACTTCATACTTTTTCAAACACGCCTGGATGTTTGTCAGTACTCGTGGTGATATGTGTAATTTCGGTTGATGTGGTTATTTGGGTTTTTCGCTTCTAATTTTAATTGGCCACCTTGTCGTTTTCACACAACGTTATCTCACTATCAAGACCTGTTAATTTGGATCATCTGACACTTCTTATTTTAGAGATGGAAACTTGTTGGCCTGACTGGCGAACAGCTCGCTGCTGCCACCAACACCACCTTGTGCAGTTGTTTGGAACCCAAAGGGCAAATAAGAAGTGAGGGCTGTACATCCAGGAGGAAATCTAATTTGGAGTCTAGTCTTATAACTGGATATGTTTTATGGACATCATTTAAAACCCTTAAAAAATAGCCTTGGTCTGTTCAAATGGGATTTGACCAAAAAATATGGCATATTTTATCAGCAAATTAAGTTTTTGTTGGTACTTGTGGGCCTAAAATACAATAATTGATTGATATCAGTTTGTCAAAGACAGAGGCTGATGCTGATAATGGAAAAACTGTTTTGCCAACGACAACATATAAATAATAATTCTAACAAATAAGCACCAACATTGTAAAATTTGAGCTGGTCTTTTTTTTTAAAATAATAGTTTGAAAATATTTGGCTCAGTGAAATATTGCCTTGAGAGACGACTGGATGTCTGTCCAGCCATCTGAAATTGGTAATAAAGTAGCATAGACATTATATACGTACACGCCTCATTTCTTGCTGGAGCGTAATCCAGCGTCACTGCCATGTCGGATGGGTCTCCTCACTCCTAGCTCACACTAAAAGCCAAAAAGAGTCAATTGAGGACGAGCAACAATGCCCATATTTGTGCACTCCACAGTTGAAAAAAACGATGCAGTATTGAAACCAGATCATGTCGGATTACATTTCACAAGTAAGATTGAAAATAATTTTAGTTATTTTTAATATGTGATAGTGTCCTGTTTTATAGCTTCACCTCTGCCATTCATAACAAATCAAACCATGTGAAAATCAGGCAGAAATTCAGAGAGTTATGATTAATATGGTTGGGGATTCCTATCTACCTTCATGCACTGGAGGCGCATGGGGGGACCCATCCAAGATGGCGCCCACACTGATACGTGAGCTCCAATAGGCAGCGTCTGTCTATGAGGCGTCTACGTATATTATGTCTATGTACAGGACTTTAGACTGTATCTAGAATGTACGCTGTCTGCCTCCTTACAGGGTGAAGCCTCTGTGAGAACAGCACCCTCTGGTGACGGGCTGCAGTATAGGTCTTAAATTCCGCCTCCTCCAGCAAACTTAATGGAGTTGTGGACAAAGTTTAGAAATTAATTACACAGAATATAATGTTTCTCCCCCCTGGTTGCGATGTTGACATGTAGTTATTGTAAGACTAGTTTGATACGCTGTTTGAGCCGTACGTCATCACAGCGACTCTCCTGCCGAATGCGTATAATGCTACTGTGTAAGGGGTGGTTCCAAGAAGTGAAGAAAATCCCCAAAATACCGAGAGCAATTTGGCTTCAAATTCGTATAATGGAAGGCAGAGCCAAGTTATCCATAGTACATACTTTCTATGGTAAAGGACAATGTGAGTTAGAATCATGTGACTATAAATGGCCAATGACACGAGACAATGTAGAATATCAGAAATAAACAACGTAACCCCACATTAAAGCACAGAGTATTTAAACAGTGGAAAAGTTACAAAGCCTTCGCTGCAAATCTTTGATTTCATCACATTAGTCACATTTTCAGGGTAACATAAAAAGTTGAAAATGTGCTTAATCCCCACAATCCATGACTGCACAGCTTCTTAGCTCTGCTTTAAGACAACACACCATGACTGCCAGCATGGATAAACAAAGAAACAGAAAAAAACAAGGAGAAGAAGGAGAGCGGTTTGCCACGGCTGAAAAGGATGAGTCAGGGGGGGCGATGCAATTTTCATGTATGTGTGCCTGTACCCGCAGCTACATACATCTCCTTTGGTGGTGCAGCATTAGTCTACGTGTGTTTCTTGTTAATAATTCAGGGCTGAAGTTCAGGATTAGGGAGGGCAGAATCAATAAGCGTTTACGTTACATGAAAGAGCGTTTGATAGTGTCTGTCTGTTCAGTGACATGGCTTTGGGGAGAAGACTTCAGCACAAGCGTTTCCCATCTGTGCGAACATGAGGCAACACTTTCTCTGCTGTGAACTGAGGATGCATTGTGCAATCCTGGTTTCTGAAGCTATCCATTGTGTTCGGATTTTCTTTCTTTATGCATATTACAGTTTTTTGGTCGGAGAGTGGTTGTGGAAATGTATTACCTTCATTTCTTTGATCTACCCAAACAATTCACCACCACAAAGACTTATTTTCTCCCACTAATAGCCCTGTATGCGGGTCTATGATTTACAACATTTACAAACCCTCAGACCCTCTGAGTAAGCTGGTAAAAATGTCTGTAAAATCGACTGAAGCGTATTCTCAGAAATCGAAAGCCTCTGTAAAACCGGGCAAGCCCCATTAAGACAAATCAGGCCCTCTGGTAGACGCAGGTCTCTTTGTTGTTCTTACAAAAGCTTGTCTGACAATAAGAAAGCGGATATTCCACTTCTGCAAGAAATACAACATAGGCTGATACCAGGCACTTCTCTTATGACGGGGACCAGATGGCTCTCTGTTTGTTTGTCAGGACAAAGGCAGGAGAAGGAAGGAGGATGGACTGGAGTTTTTAGCGTAGTCTGACAGCAACAGTAAGTTAAGAGTTAGTGTGGGGAAAATAAATCTGTTTATCTTGCAGACTGTCACAGGTGATACTTGGTGCTCATACAGCAGTTACTTCTGGAGGGAAAAAAAACAGTGGTGCCATTAGGAAGACGTTTGGTATGCAACCAAAGACTCTGGTGTGGTTTTTCCACTCATGATGCCCAGTTAACTTGAAAATTAGGTCTCTTACCCTCCAAAAAATTAACATCCATAGACTGTATAAAGAATGGACGCCATCTGCCTCCTTGCTGGGTGAAGCCTCTGTGAGAACAGCACCCTCTAGTGATGGGCTGCAGTTTAGGTCATATCCAATGTTGACATGTAGTTACTGTAAGACTGTTTTGTGCTCAAGTCCTCTTTTTTTCTGTTCAGCTCAGTTTTTAAAAGTTATTAGGGGGTTCATGTTTTCAATGATTGACACTTGATACAGCCTATGGGCGTACGAAGATTGCATAACTAACCTGGGGGATACGCTGTTTGAGCTGAGCGTCATTACAGCGACTTTCCCGCTGAATACGTACAACGCTATTGCGCAAGTGGTGAAATATGTACAATGCTGCTGTGCCAGTGGTGGTTCCAGGGAGTGGAGAAAATCCTGTAAACACCGAGAGCAATTTGGCTTCAAATTCGTATAATGACGAAAGGCAGAGCTAAACTGTCTATCATCTATGTTACAGTCTATGTTAATATCATACTAACAATTTTCACTGTAGCCTGTTAACGCTTCAATAAGAGTAAATAAGCCACTTATAAGACTTTCTAAACATTCATAAGTGTTAATAAGCACAAAATTAACATATTTATGATTGTTTTTGGACACTTGAAGGCTCTCATTGGAAACGTCTGAACTGTATACATACAAGTATAAAAGTAGGATCTTTATTAACATTAATCAGACTTTTTAAGATTAATGAGCATTAGACTATTTGCTGGTAATACCAGGAACTGCAATATATACAACATTGAGACTCATAAAAATTTTTTATCAATGTTAATATTACTGTTCAAGCCTTATACATCACCCCATAACATGTATTGTCACTTTGCTGTATTGCTACACTTACTTATTTGTTCAGTTGAAAAGTAGAAACCCACCTGAGACAGCATGGACTTTGATTTTATTGCTTCATGTAAAGCCATGTCAGGTATCCTCTGTTGTCTGATGTCGATGGGGCTCTGTGGGACCAGAGTGGGCTCTTAATGCTGTGTAGAGAGTTCCCGTTGTACTGAGAGTCCACAACTTACTGCACTGTTAACCTCTTCATTGATGTCCTGTTAGCTAACATGCCAGCCTCCTATCAGCGAACAGGCAGATAAGGCAACCTTTCTAAGTCCAAATGAAAACTGTTTGCTAGGTCAGTGGCAGAAGTGGCTGCCAGCCAGCCGGCTGCTCGCATCAGATCCTCGGAGCCAGAAACTCCACTTTGATCTCAGTGAAGGGATTGAACTTGCTGCAGCTCTGGTCCAAACACACACACACACACACACACACACACACACACACATGTGCGCCTTCACATCTGCAGGGTGGAGCAGAGCTTCTGACAGCCTTGTGCTCATTGGTTTTAGCTGTAGGCCAGGACAGGTGGTGTTTGCAAATGTGTGTGTGTGTGTCTATGGAAGGTTCAACGACCCTCTCCTACTTTAAGTATGCTCTATGATAACACCCCCCCGGAACCTGTATCGCCCTCCCGACGACACACCCCCTCTGGCCGAGCAAGAAGCCGGCCAGCAGAAGATCCTACGCTAGCTTCAAATAGGATTCACCATGTCGGATTGCAGGTGACTAGCGGCAGTAAACGCCAGCTCTGTTAGCGAGCACCGTCTGCAGCTGCCTGGACAGCTACCGTGTTGACATTGCAGAGACTAGTAAGAGTTATTTATGTAACATGAGCCACGATAAAGGCAATAAAAATTACCTGTTCAACGAAAACTCTGCTGTCTCAGCGTCTGTTTTCTCCACCGCTCGAAGGATGACCCGATGTTTATTCAAGTGAGATTCCTTGCTTGGTCACGTTTCCTCTTCATCTCTGCTCTTTCTTCTGTCGGCTTGCGTTTTCTTCCCACTTTTGGCGGTGGGGCGAACAGAAGTGTTATCTTTCCGTCCTTCTCCATCACGGCTTCTGTAGCTAAGCTGCTATGCTACTTTTAGCCACTTAGAGCTCCAAGGAGAGCCAGGAGAGTGGGAGGGGACGAGTCGGAACTACAGGCGAGGGGTGTGTCGAATACAGTGAGGTGATTGGATGGAGAGGCGGAGCAGGAGATTGACCAATAGGAGCAGTCCTGGATGGATGGCTCCTATTGGTCAATGTTTTTGCAGCCCTGCACCTGCTAGGGTGAGCAGATTTTTTTCGTTCTTTTTTCTCCTCACTTTGTGGAGATCGCACTATAGGACCATGATCGCCATAGAAACAAGGTTCATAATAATTACCAATATCTCCAATCATCAATCATGCCTCTGGCACAGTTCTCAGAGATTACTAACTGGAGTAAGTTTGAAGTAATTCTTGGATCACAAAACATCAAATCACAGATCTCATAGGCCATCATCTGACCATGATATAAGATGTCACAAGATTTGGACATTGCTGATGACTTTGGGCCTTCGCCTCGAGCAGCAGCAGCTCTGTAAAATGATTCATCCAGATACCTACCAGCAGACCTAGCAGAGAGCCAGGCTAGCAACAGGGATCTAAAAGGGGGAATTGGTATTCAGATATGAGCCGCGCCTGCCTGCTGGATGTGCTGAATTTTGCTCCCAGAGGGGCGCCTCTGAATGCTGGAGGCAGATGCACCTTCACATTTCCAGCCTTTAGCTGCTGCTGGAGGAATAAAGTCATGATAAAATAGAGGCTGGAGGTTTTTCAAGGGGATTCAGTGGAAAGCCCTTTATTTAGGGGTAAGGGAATACATTACTGCTGTTTGGGATTATGTGCATTTTGTTAAAATCCACACAGACCCAAAAAATGAATGTGAAATGGATATTGATTTATAAAAGGTCGGTGATGTTGGGTGCCATGTTTTGCCATTTAACAGTTGTGAGTTTGTGTTTTTTGACGTTATGAAAATGTCCTGGCCTGATGTTCAGACAATTACTGCCCATATTACAATAATTTTAAAGGGCTATTTTGGTGTAAATTTGCAATGAGTGACTCGTCAGGGCTCCCCCTCAAACAAGCGGCTGCTGGAGGACAGTGGGTGAGTTGTGTTTGGTCTCTTTGCTTAAGAAATCAGGCAAAGCTAAAAAGAAGTTTGATGGCTCGTACTTTGGCTGGGACCCTATATGTACAGTTGATGAAGTTAGGTGCTGTTCTGAGCATTATTTGTGGCTATAGAGTGGTGTTTTGGTTGAGGTTTGCGCGTGGAAGTGTAGACCGCTGTGTATTGCTATCGTGCGACCATTACTCAAAGGTGGGGTGGGCAGGGTCTGAGTTAGTGCCAGGTTTTGGGAGAAATCTTGAATGTAAACTCTACCCCTTTGAACCAGTTTTCCCCTCAGCTCCTCCTCTCCCCTCCCTGTCTGCTCCAGCAAACCCCGCCCACAAAGAGACACTCCTGCTCGCTCGTATCGATGTAATTAAATTCAGATATAATGCAGATTAAGACTTCAAATGGGGCTCAGTCAACGTGAAAGTAAACAGCATTGATGCTACTGTAGATGCCAACAGACTACCAGCAAACACAATGTTTGCAAGACTTCTACAACTAGGATAAAGTGACATAGTCCAGGACCCGAGGTCAACAGTTTAGCGGCGCCACAACACGCAGCAGGTTTCCTTTGACAAGAAACACTGCTGTTACACTTGGCTTACTTTGTTAAAGCGGTTTACCTGTCCAGCAGAAAGGTTACAGGGTTCGTAAGATCCCGAAGCGTTCACTGATGTTGACCCGTTTTTTTAGCTCTTGTCCGGTCTACCTCCTTTTTAAGCGCCCCTTATTCCACCAGTCTCCAGTATTTATTTCGTTTTCTTGCTTGTGTTGGCAGTCGTGACTAAAGGCGGATTCAGACAATTTTCAGTACTTTCTGGTTGGTTTCTACAGTCCGTCATGTAGCACGCTAACTTTGTTTGGGCTCGTGCGCTGTATTCCAGGATGTGGAGCGTGCCTCACAACATCAGGGAGCAGCGTCTGCCTCAGAACCAATCAGGTTAGGGGGAGGAGGAGAACGGCTTTGTTTACAGTCAGAAAGAGCGATTTTGAAATGTTGACTACAAAAACATAAGAGAACACGGTGACCGTGATATTCCCAAATGTCATCAATGACTAATAGCTGCTGGCTGATATTAAAAGCTTTTTTGTATCTACGCCACAAAAAAACATGCTTTTTTTTTTTTACAGAATCCTGCCTACCCCACCTTTAAGTTGGTGTAACTAGAGAAGTAAGCAGTCGGCAACATTCATCTCTCGAGGGGGTGTCTAACTCGGTGTTACGGTGTGTTTGACCATAACTCTGTAATGTTTCCTGTGAATGATGTTAGTGTTTTCCTCTTTTGGAATAAAAATAATAAGAAATGAAGAGGCAGACAGAAAATTCAGGAGAGAGGGATACAGTTATTGGCTGAAAACCTACATGTGATGTTGTTGAAGCCATGCAGCTATGCCACATGCAGACTAGCATATGTTTGGCAAGCATGTCGAATGTAGCTTGCCATGCCGCCAGTTACTTTTAATGAACCTGCAGTACGTTTCAGAAAACAAGGGGCGAGTCATGTTAAGAGCAACAGGAATCTCTGCAGTGCCTGAACCTCCACTTTGTCTTAGAAACTGTGGCTGATGTAGGGATGCTAATGCACCACACCTGATCAATAAAAGAGCTTAGGTATTTGATTCAGTGAACAAGGATGCTAAACACACCTCTGAGAGATATTCTTAGACCTGTTACATTAGTGTTCTTACACCTAGCTTTACACCATGTCAAGACTACGGATTCATTTTTTTTAAAATCAATATTCACACTCCTCTTATTGTGAGAGTCGGCAGAAATTAGGTACATGAAGTAAAACCCTCATCTTAGTGTTCTCCTCCTTAACATCAGAAATTAATCCTGCAACAAGAGAGGAGCATTAACATTCACCAGGATGACGCACAGTCATTTTATCTCAACCAGAACGGAAACCATTAAAGCCTTTTTTTAAGTGCAGCATCTCTGATCCAAAATGTCATCTTGGAAACTGACAATCATGCCAAACAAACATAAAACTTGCACTTATCCATCTTCTGAGAACAAATCGAGATGTGTCACGAAGCCTTTTACATACTAACTGTCACTTCACCACAGACAAGCGTCCTTAAACGCTCATAGATCACTGATGTGTTCCTATGATGAGGAAATGTTGACGTCCAGCTCGAGCAGAAGCCTTTTGAGGGTAAACTGCTTAAAATGTCAGACGTCAGAGATGTTATGATGCGATGGCGTTGCATCAGCTCTTGCTTTTTTTTTGCTGCGTTGTGTTTGTTGTTGCCTCGTCATCACTATTTGACTTGCAAAGATAGTGAAGACATGAGATGTGCCATTACACATCGATTCAACCCAGTGAAAAGATGTTGAAAACATACAACTCCTTATCTCTACTTATTACCGCAGTTTAATTCATTGGTAACTCATCAATTTTAGTGGACTATTGAGTCACCGCACTCCTAGTGACCAAAAGGTCTCTCATCTTTTACCATAAAACTTTGCTTGATGGTTGTAAAGTTGTAAAAGTTCGCTCATATGATCAGGATTTTTCATTCTGACACGTTCCATATTTAGATTTCTTGTTTTTATTAAAAGCAATTTTTAATTGGCTCTTGTCTTACTAACAAGTCTCAACCTTTGCTGAAGAAGTGAAAAAAATCCAAATGTACTAATTAAAATGCTGAAAATATACATGTACAGTGTAAAAATGCTCTTTAAGCCTGTGGGAAGATGGAGTTTTCTGTATTTTCTGAAAACATTTCACTTACTTTTGAGACTAACAGGATCTCTTTGCAAAAGAGATGGGCTAATAAAACAGAAACTAGAACATGTGAAAAAAATAATCTAAAGATAAATCTAACTCTCAAAGAGACGTTAAGAAGATGTGACAAAAAGGAGAACACAATGCAGGGAAGATTAAAGTGTGGTGTCTGTCAGCCTGCACCTCCAGGGCCACGGAGAACTATTACCAGCGGGTCTCAAAGGGGAATAGGGAAGGCAAAGAGATAAAAGGGCGAGCTGTGTAACATTTCAATGAGTTTTGCATCATTTCCTTTGCTCCAAGAAAAGCAGACAGCTTAAACATAGTAGTTAAAATGAAGGAGCAAAGCAACAACACAAGGTCTGTTTTCCACAGTGATGCAAAACAGAGGTCTGTGAAACATCTGGATGGTGTAACTGATGTTCGCTTTCAGAGGCTAACAGTCCCTTTGTTAAGTCGTGGCTTGATGAAATAATAAGAAAAAGATCATTTTCACTTTAACCTGCTGGGAAAAAAAACTCATTGTTTTCTCAGTTTTAAGCAACATAATGAAATGTGTTGCAAATGAGACTATTGCTGTGTTCCAGTTGTACTTGAAAGTCGGGATTTCCAAGATACAAGTCGGAAATTCATCTGGTACGCCCCCCCTGAAGTCGGATTTACATCAACAGTAACAGGAGTAACAGTAAATGTTCTCGTAATGTGTTATTTATGAGCACTTCTGTTTTGTTTTTGTGAAATTAAAGAAGTGGTATATGTTGTACTGCCCAACGTCTAACTGTAAACAGTTAGAAAAAAAGTTATTATTATTATTATTATTATTTATTTTTTTAATTATTATTATTATTATTAGTAATAGTACTAGTACTAGTAGTAGTAGTAGTATATACTGTGAATGTATGTGATTCATATACTCAATAGGCTGTTCTTTTCAACTATAAAGGTCAAACAGTTAAATCTTCAGGTTCAGGTTTGTCTGACTTTGAAGCTGCCCATAGACTGTCATACTGAGGTAACCTCATAAACAGGCTTCAGGCTTTTCCTGAAAAATAAGTCATCTTTTGGTCCTCCACTGTTTTTCCAAATGTAAAAAAGTCAATTAAAAACAGTATGTGTGTTTACGGCTGTTGAGAAATGACTTCCTTTCGAACAGCCGGGGGCATCCCTCTAATTACATGTTGTTTCTTTAAGTCAATGTTTAGTCTGGAGTCACAGAATCGAGCTTGTGAATGTTAAATTTGCCATTGCAGAAAAAAATGCATTGGCTGGAAAAATGATGGGTTTCTGGAATGAAACCCTCCCCTCTCTGCTGTTTGTCCTTGAATGAGACACCAAACCCCAAACTATTCCAGCTGAGTTGTTCACTTATCAACAGTAGCATACTCCGGCTGCACTGGCAGCTTCCAGGTGTGAGTGTGGACTTAGATGAATGTAAACAAACTTTGCAGGAGAGCGAGCACGCTCAGTCAACTTTGTATGACTTTCAGCAGAGTTCTGTTACCCCCCGCTTGTATAACATTGGCCATAACGTTCATTTCATTGGTTTCAAACGATGCAAATATGAATGGAAGTCTAATCTGTGTTCATTGTGCATGACAAAACACGCTTTAACAGCTGGCTCATTCCATTTCCATCAAACTTCCCTTGGTTTGGTTGCCCTCTCTCTAACTCTTTCATTTAAATGCATGCTCTCAGGCTGTATTTGTCATCCCTCAGATTTGGTTTTAATTCTCCATTTAGATTGCATGCGAGAGATATGTCTGATAGAGATATTTAGAGGTTTTTTTTCATTAATTTAATCTCAGAAATAATTAACTAAACCCAAGGAGAACAGATGTTTGAAACAGTCTAGAATTTGAAACCCAAACCCTTTTTTTTCTGTGCTTCTGCACTCCACTTCACATTGGAAACAAACACCATATGGGCACACTGCAGAGCACAAATGTTATTTGAATAAAGTACGTCATGCTTGAGTCATACCTGATGGTTTTTGGAGTTGTGCAATGCTTGTCATGATTCAATATTTGGTTGGCCTTGATCGTTGTTTCCCCCCCATCTGTTAGAAAATCACACACTTATTTTGAAAAGGTCAAATGATGCAAAGAAGCCCAGGTCTTTCACTGATTTGTGCAATAAATTCACAGTCTTCTAGCAGCCAATATTGTGTTTTTACCACAAACTGCATAAAGAATGGACAGAGTCTGCCTCCTCGCTGGGTGAAGCCACTCCTAGAACAGCACCCTCTGTTGACAGGCTGCAGTATAGGTCATAAATCCCGCCTCCGCCAGCAAAGCTTATGGAACTGTGGACAAACTTTAGAAATTAATCACACAGAACATAATTTTTCTCCCCCCTGCTTGTGATGTTGACATGTAGTTACTGTCAGACTGGTTTGTGCTCAAGTCCTTTTTTTTCTGTGACGCTCCATTTTTAAAAGTTATCAGGGGGTTCATGATATATATGATTTGACACCTGATACAGCCTATGGCGTTCAGGGATTGCGTAGCTCTCCCGGGGGATACGCTGTTTGAACCGAGCGTCATCACAGTGACTCTCAGCGACTGCGCGCCTCAATGCACGCATCGCTACTGCGCAGCGCTGGTTTCAGTAAATGAAAAAAAATCCTGGAAATACTGAGTGCTTTTTGGCTTCAAATCCGAATACAGGCGGTAGGCGGAACCAAGTTGTCCATAGTATATACAGTCTCTGGTTTTTACTAGGGTCTTCTAGATATTCAAGAGAGGGCCATGCCTTTTCACAGGGTTCCTACACAGTTGGAATTTCCATACTTTTCCATACCCTATTTATTAGACTTAATTTTGGAAATACCTACTTTTCTATCGTAGAAAACAGTATTTTATAACTGCGGTAATAAAGTCTGTTAACAAATATTTTTCCATACTTTATTTCTCATTTACCATATTGGAAAAACCTGGAAATTGATCATATTACTCCCATACTTTTCCATACTTTGCATACTTGCGTAGGAACCGTGCTTTTTTTTTAAATGGCAGAGACAAAACTGGAAGAACAAATCTAAACAGATCTGGTTAAACCCACATCTGTAGCATGATTAGATGAATCTCATCAATTAATTCTGCTTTCCTAAGCACACTCCCAAAGGCCATCTCATGCCAAAAGACTCAGTGGGCTTTTTTTTTTTCTTAGATTCAGAGTTGACAATTACGCAGAAACCTCCTTAAACCCTTGACCTTCTATCAATTCATGTGATTAATCCCTTGACTTGACACAGACAGCCATTTGAATTCAATGACTGCTTGTCCCAACATCTGCAGTGACATTTATATTTATAAATGATTATGTCAGAAAGCTGACAGCATTTTTCACTCATGACTGTGACAGCGGCTTCAAGATAATCCCCATTGAACACAGGCGAAATGGCAAACGACTTGTTGACCTTGGTGGTGCTGCTGTTGTCCCATCGCTTAAAAATTTCTGTTTTGTAAATTTTGGAAATAAAGTTCAAACAAAAGTTATGTGGATAAAATGAAGCTCAAACTGTGAAAGGTCAATTTTGAATCATAGTAATGTTCCCAAAGTGAATGCTAGTCCAAACCTTCGCTGACATGGTACTTAACAAAATGTCAACGCAATCATCTATCTGTCCATTTCCAAAACCTGTTATCCACTTCAGTTTTGTATTGGATGGAAGAGATGGCACATCTTTCTGAGACTGCCAGTCTATTACGAGACCCACTTATTAACCTCATGACTCTCAGCACCACATTTCCATAAATCGAGAGCTTCCAGTTCACCTCAGTTACTTTTTTCAAGCCAAGAGGAACAAAACAGAGTCACCAGCGAAAGCCAGTCCTCAACCGACCACTATTCAATTCCACCTGTCAACAAAGCAACTTCAGATTGTGTTGAATATAATATAATCCTAATGAGAAACAACATTTTTCAGGTTGTATAAGCTAAACCAACCTTTTTAAATCCAGAAACTGCCCCCAAAATATGGCAGGATTTGAAATCAAACACATACACAAGCAAATGCACAGATAACCGTACTTAATTTCTACAACATAACAGGCTCAGTAAGGAAAAGACCATCCAGCTCTTATATAAGCTTCCCATGCTTCAAATGCCTTCCCCCTCATCTCGCTCCCTGCCAGGCCAAATTGCAGGACAGGAAATTCCAGGAAGATGCCAGTCCGCATTTAAATATCAAATGGATAATACATTTAGGCAGGCATCAGTGTTTTGTCTCTGCTCTGTGGTTTTTGTGTGTTTGTGTTTGTCAGAGTTCTTAGTTTTAGTCTTAAAGTAAAAATATCTAATTGTTAAAGTCACATTTTAGGTATAGTCAAGTTGTGATGCTCATAAGGAAATCAAAGACTAGTCATACTGGTTGTTACTGAGCATGTTTGTCTGAGATCTCTGTAAAAAGACCGCAGATCCAAATGTGCAGGATTTTTCCAGGACAATGTCTGTCTCTTAATCCCTGCCCCCCAGGAAAGGAAGTTAGCTGTACACTCCCATGTCTTAAAGAGATTGCTTCTTTTATTTATTTAGTGATTTTTTAAAGTCAGGGTGTTAAGGGTACTTGACATTAGTAAGAGCATTACCCACAGGAGAGACTGAGGACATCAGGACCTTAACTCTGTGATAATGTGAGGCAGCGCTGGTTTGAAACATTATGTAGAGCTTGGGTTCCCATTGGGCTTTGACTGAGCGGAAGGGTGAGGTTTGTAAATAGGTGTACCTTCTACCAAAAGCCGTGGTCAAGCCCAAGGCTAATCGATGACTGTGCAGTTGCTAGAAATCATCTTCTGTACGACCATATTTGGGCTCTAAAGTCCTAGTCGACTGGTCGACTTATTGGTCGATACGTGCTGAGTCGACCAAAATTCTGATTGGTCAACTCGATTTTTTTCAATTTACAATCTCTGGTTAATTTCATCAGCAGGAAAGTACCAAGTGCTAATGGGGGTGTTTTCAGAGCACCCCTGTTTCACAAGTAACAGTCTGTCTCAGAACACCCCCCTTGTTTTCACCATTTTGGATTCGCCCCAACCCACTGGAGACCGGCTAAAGACAGGAAGATTGAAGAGCGTCATGTTAAGCAATGTTCGGTGTTTTGCTGAATATTTATATTTTAGCCTTTTGTGTTTAATTCCCTTCTTGTGCTGATATCGGTATATTTTCACCCTGCCGAGTCGCACTCCAGAAGGTTCTGCTGGTCTGAGTCGGAAAAAGTCTATTTTTGGTCAGAAATTTCAGGGTTTTAATCAACCAAGAATTTCATTGGTTGATAACAGCCCTAGACCATATGTCAGTGAGTTTAGTCCAGTTGGTTATTGGCCCCCAATTGTTGACGTTTCTTGCATTGAAGAGATCCATGCATAACTTTAAAGGACTATAGGTCAAAAACTGTAACCAGGTGGGGAAAAGCACTTCAGGAAGTCTTTGAACAAGTAAATACACCGGTAGAAAAAAGTTTCTGTGATTGCATGTGGCTGTCCAAATGAACCGACAAACTAATGCCTCATATTTTCTGGGTACCTGAGAATTTTAAGGTGTATCTGTGCCTCCTGGGAGATTTTGCACAGCTCAGCCTCCGAGAGTGAGCTGAATCAAGGGTGCTCAAACAGAGGCCTGGCCAGTTTTCAAAAACCTTTGGAATCACAGAAACACTGCATCTCCCATTGTTCATTGTTCCCAGTTGTAGGACAGTGAATTGCGTTATCATTCGTCTTCATCTGGCTATTCTTGTGACAGGAGACGACATAAATACAAGGGTTTGAAATTAGTTGCCTACACACATCTGTTGGGAGCTGGATGCAGAATTGCTCTTTTGGACTGGAAGGCGCTATCTGATGTGATTCAGGTGTCTGATAAGGATGCCCTCTAGGAAGGTCAGTCCCTGAGAGGGCAGTGCAGTAGTCTTAAGATATCCTCCTGGCAGACTCCTGGGGACTAACTTACAATATGCTGATGGGAATATTTATCTGAACTGGCCTTGGAATGCCTCAGGAACTTCCAGGAAGCCCTTGAGGAAGAGCATGGGGAGAAATTCTTGGCTTACCCTGCTGCCACTGTGGCTCGTGCCAAGACAAGCAAGGAGAAGAAGATAGATGATAGTGCTCTGTCGACACAAACTATGCAATTTCGATCTCACAAAATAGATCTATGATCTACTCTAAATTCGATCTATATGATCAATCCATCCCTATTCCAGCCTTGCCTGCACCACTTGGCCCTAACCCAGTGTTTACAAATGGGAATTGGGTTTGAAATTCAGCACAACCACTGAATTCTTCCTGATTTTATGTTTCATCATGGCGTTGCCCTTTCATATACTAGTCTTTTAGCAAAGCAAGCTAAACAGCAGTTGGTGGCACAGCAGGATTTTCCCTTTAACTCTGCACCAAAAGGCAAAAGGTCGTAGACTAAATAATCAGGAATGGGATTGAGACTTAATCGTTTATAAATACTAACACCAATATTCAAAAAAGTGAAACAAACTGTTTCAGTATGTTTCTGACTGTGCTTCGTCATGTTCTCTCATGGTGGTGACTGAGCCATGTGCTCAGCTGAGTCACTATGACCAGGGGCGAGTGAACAGCAAGTGGAAGAGATATATAAGGCACTCAACCACCGGCTTTCAGCCCTGTAGGGAGAGAGAGATCCCCACAGGGCTAAAGGCTCCAGTCGATTTTCTTGACTAGACAGGTCTGATGCTGGAGCGACATTGCCTCAGGCGGCCCTGGCAGACGTAGTCAAATGAAGAGAGGTAGAGTCAAGGACAGGGTGGTCAAGATGTGCGCTCAAACAGACATCTAATTCATGCAAACTCATTTTGGGAGTAGAGTAATAGATGTGTATGCACATCATAGCCACTCCGGTAGAAATATGCAGATAAACACGGTGGACATTTACGAAATATCTCGGTTCAATGGAGGGTTAGCTCTCTGTAGGGTTTCAGAGACTTTAAACAGTTCTGCTGATGTTGTTGAGGAGTTGCTTCTACAATAACTTTCGCACCAAAATAATGTTTTTCCACAATTTTTGACAAATGCATGATGTAGTGAAGTTGTAAACACATCAAACTTAAAACATTGTGGCTGTGCTTTCTGACAGGCCTTTGTGCGACCGCCCCCTAAACCAAGAAAGGACCTGACAGGTCATCTACACAACTGATAGATTAGAAAAGGCAGCCGCCGAAGGTACTGCAATACAAGCATTAGACTTTTTTGTGTGCTTGTGCTTCTTTCATGTGTAGGGCCTGTGTGGTTGGGTATAAACATATCTTTCATGCCCCTCCTGTCACAGCCTGTTTCATCATAACAGCATGCCAGTGTTTATATTCACATATGCTGAAGGGCTTGTTTTGCTTTTGAGAGGCTCCATATGATTTTGAGGCTGTTTTTTTTTTTGTAGATGGCATGAGTCTCTTCACTATCGAATCGCCTCAGTCTAAAAAAAAAAGGACCTGCTTTAGAAGCAGCTAAAGGAAAAGAAAGAACTATTGTCTATCGTTTAAAAGTTTACTGATATAATGTGAACCTTTCGGGCTGGTTATCTGTCAAGTTAATGTATGCATTCCCAGCTGCTCAGACGCTCTCGGAAAGCTTTGAAGGTCTGATGAAGTCTTCGCAATAACTGTAACACCCACAGTTAGATATATATCACACTTTTTTTTTCTTTGGCACATTGTGTGTAGTTTTAAACAGTATGTTCTTCCTCACATCGGCAAATTCACTACAGCTTCTGAATTCAGATGATGCGGATTTCTCCTCGGGCAAGAATGTTGATGTTGATTGAATATCGTTGAAAACCTGGTATTTCAAAAGTTTTTTTTGATTAAAGCAACAACCTCTAGTCTTCATGAAACAAATACACAAGGACTACCTTAAGAGTAAAAGTAAACATGTTTACAGCCTGGTTTGAAAGTGGTTTTGGTCTGAATAGCTCAGGGCTTCCGTGGCACTCATTGTATGGGAAGCGAGTTTTGATGTAATGCTCGTTTTGAAAATATTAAGGTGACAAGGTTGGTGAATCAGAGGCAAAGCCGACTTGACTGAAATACAGGGACACAGCAGCTATTTGCGAATAAGCTAAAGGTTTGCCTCCAGTGTGACCAACTTAGATTTAGCGACTTTTCAGACCCCCCTAGCGAGTTATTTTCGAAAAAGCAGCTAGCGACAAATCTACCAACGTTTTCTGGAGTTTGGCGTCTCTGACATGAAAGCAAGTATCAATGTTAACTGAAAAATTATGCAAATTTGGTGATGCCGTCATCTTGCAACTTCTACCGGCCTCTACGACAGCCACTAGCGACTTTCCTTACTGAGGAGTTGGCGACACTGTTTGTGTCAAGTAGGTTGACCAAAAGTTGGGCAATATGGAGACCACCCCGATGGGCTTATTTTGGCTTTAAAAATGAGTATTTTGTGCTTAAACCTTTAACCCGCAGGATGTGTGTCCGTTGTTTCCCGCCAACATTGTGCACTATGCAGATGATGCGTTGATAACCTAATCAATAGGTCATGCATCACAGCTCCATCCCAGAAGTGTCTCTATGCACTACCTACTCCACCAAAATTACATGTTAAAGCCATTTTCTAGAGAGCATGTTTCCAGCAAGCCGCAAGCTGAGCAGGGAAGATCGACCTGGACAGGATTTCAGGCACAGACTAGCAAATTTCATTCCTAAATAAAACACCATATGCCGACTCTTGGCCGTACATCAAATCATACTGATGAGGATTTCTCCTTGGTAACAGGTTTACTGTGAACACATAGCAGCGTCATTGCCTATACCTGATTCATGTCGACCATAACTTGACTTTTAGCCGCTGTGTCTGCAGGCAACAACACAGCAAAGTGAAGTATAGTTTACATGACCTAACACGTGTTTACCTGCAAAAATCAAAACTTTATAATCAAGCTGTTTGTTTCTTTGATGATAGAGGCAGAACAGTCACAGAATAATATCCACTAAAAGTCAAAGCGACCTGTTGTACGTTTGTTTTTTGCTCTAAGCTGCATTTCAACAAAAGTTTTACTGTTGCTGTTGAGGGCAAACTGTGAGACACTGATTCCCCTGTACATGGAGAGAATTTTATGGGATGTTGGAGAAGCAAGAGGTGTGAAATATTGATTTTTTTTTTTCTTCACACAGTTCTTTCTCGCTTTAAAGATGTTAACCGTTATCCATATTTTAACCTGCAGCAGGGGTATTGATTGCTGTCTGAATCGTTCGGATTGGTGTGGACTCTTAAAATAGTTCCTTATATTGAACTTAACCCTCTGAGCGTTACAGTTTTGTTGGCTTGTCATAAAGCTTCACACATCCTGGAGGATAAAAGACAGATCAGGTCGGTGTATTATATATTGTTTTACAGTCTTTGTGAAGAACACTTATCACAAACCTGTGTTATTTCTATTCCTGTGTGTGGTAGCATAAAGAAAAAACCTCACAATTGTCTCACTGTCACAGCATGTTTGACTCTACCCAGCAATTTCTATGGAGTACAAGGTGATTCGGTCGTGTTGTGGAGAGGAAATGTGTATAACATTGTGTCACTCCTGTCTGCACGCTCCATCAATCCTGTCAGAGCTCATTGCCACAGTTCATCTCAAAACCGAACTGTGAAACAGGCCCGGTAATGGTTTTGGCTTGACTTATCAGGCTTTGATTACATGTTATAGCCACTCAGTGACAAGCAAACAATGATTCGGGGGGAAGGAAACTGGAATCCACTCTCTGATTACATTACCCACAAATATCAATGAAATATAAATGGTGAGGAAACAGAAATGTGGTGCCGTCTCTTAGGAAGATAAATCTGCAATACGTGCAAGACCAGAAAGCTGTTGATGAAATAAAACACCAGAACAGGTGGCTGCCCCATAGGGGAGACTCGGGCCTAATGTGTCTGCGCAGCAAGTAAAGTGTAGATAATTTGAAATCACAGAGAAAGCTCCTAAATCTTTTATCGCGGCTATAAAACACATTTTTAAGGGGAATGCAAAGTGCTTTCTAAATAGAGAATGCCTCTAAACTTTTTTAAGGCTGGTATAATCAACACCAGGCAGACTCCAGCCTTATCTGCGCACTAACCCAAAGCAACACAGTGTTCTAATTTCACAGATTTAGTCACGGTGAAGAAGTCAGTCACTGTGAGAGATTAGAGATTTAAAAAACACATCTCTACACCTGCAGCTTTCTCCTCCCCGCAGGGATAGCACGCCAAGAAGGAACAGAAAAGGCGCAGAGGGTCCTTGAGGCTCCGAGCAGAAGGAAGTGGGATTATTCACTACAAAAGAAGTTGAATGACTTTTGGTTTTTCCAGCACACTAGCGCTAATCTTTTAAAAGTAACAGCTAAAGTAAAGGCACTAAAAACATCTGATGAGACTGATGTTGTAGGTCAGGATGCTGCTCTCAAACTTTTTCAACTTCTCTAATGTCCTGATGTATTTTTAATGTATTTTCAATAGCCGTCCACCAACGCATTTCCATCTTAAAAGCTTCATTTTATTCCTCTTTATGCGACTTAAACCAAGTTTCTGATACAGCATTAATTTTACATGAAGTTTTGAACTGTCTCTGAACTCAGCAGCCCATGTCCTTTAATGCTAACTCAACGGCTATGTAATTTTGACTAATAAGCATTTCCACAAACAAAAACCCTAACCACATTAAAGGGTTATAGCGTTATCAACAATACTTTAACAATACTTTAACCACATTTAATTGACTATAAATATTCAAACTGCTAAATTTAGTTTTAGGAGTGTGGTCTCATTTTCAAGAGCAACCACTGTGGTTATTGTTTAGCTAGCAGCTAGCATGGCTACCCGAGAATACAACTGTATATGACTGACAGCTGGAAACAGAGCAATAATATAGTTATTTTATCAAGTAATGATGGATTACACCACTTAAGTTTCTCGTCAGTTACTTGAGTGATAATAGCCCTCCCGTTCTTTTAGTATGCAAAGCTTACAGCGTGAAAATGTAGCTAACAATAAGCTAACAATAGGATCTTAGGATGCACTGTATGAAATGAAAGCTAGGGAAGTATTTTAATCTGTTTTATGACTTGGAAACTGCAGAATATTAGGACAGATAAGAAAGACAAAAACAATTGTACCATTTTACATGATTTATTCTGTGTAGAAATATGACGCCAGATGCTGTGGGTTGTTAATTTCCATACAAAAGCTAAATCTCCCATTGTCACTTGATAATTGGTTAAAAAACACAACTGATAGGACAAGTTGAAGCTAAACTGCGCCTGCCACTGACTCCCAATCGCTGTAATATGAATAAAAAAAATAAATAACAGCTGTGAGATTTTGCAGTGTAGTTTCAGGCTGTTTGTTTTTCTGAGGGTGTATTTATAATAAGAAACAAAGAAAGTAGCTTTTTCACTTTTCGTACTTAAACCATAGATGTCAGGAATACAGGACTTTTATTTAGATTTTTAAATTTTGGTCTAGCACAAAAAAGGAGAGGATGTGGAAAGAAGTCAAAGTAAAAGTTTCAAAACAAAGGCCCAGGGGATAATGTGAAACAAGTTAGCTACCTATATAGTGGAAACTGTAGGCTAACACTGATTAACAGTGAACTAACGAAGTAATCAGTCATACTACTAATAATAAAAATATTTTTTATTTATAACAGGCTTTTACAGCTGCTCAAAGACGCCTTCTAAAGAAAAAGAAGAAAATAAAAAACACAATTTAAAATACAGAAAATTTGAGAAATAAAACCAACAATGTAAAAGATTAAAAAAGACACAATATGACACGACAATAAAAGAACATTTCACAGGTTAAAGGCCATTTAAAAAGGTAGGAGTTTTTAGGAGTGATTTGAAAGTATGGGGTCTGTACAGTCTTGGTAGGTCTCGACGGAGTTGTTGTTTCTCAAACATCCATCATGTGGGCTTTTTATTTTCAATCTTTTACAATCTAACTTCAGTGTCACCTGACCATCCCCTCTCCTTGATAAATTATTTACATAAAGAAGAAACGGATAATAATTTAACAGTTTTCTAAAAGATAGTTTTCTTGTATTTCTTATTCAGACCAAATGTCTTCTGTTTTGTTGGTTTTTATTCAATAAAAAAAGAAGGAGCTGTTTTCTAAATATGTCCAAAGAAAACACGAACTGCCCCAAAGTAACAGATCCTCTTGAAGTTGGTCTAACTTTTCATCTTTAAATCATAATCCTGCACTTAATGCACAAGCCACCCTGCCTTCCATAGCCCGTGTTTTTCTGTGTCACTGCTCCCACCTGAGGCTTCTCCGGCAGAGCTGAGACCTTAAAAAACCTCATTTTTTTACTGTATGTGAAACGGCAAAGTCTTCTGCTCGACAATTTAACTACTTCACCTTCACCTCATACTTCAGATATTATAAATCTTTAATCATCCCCTTGGGGAAAGCAGCTCAACTGTATCAGCAAATAGCAACAGAATACAGCAAAGGAGAGTAAAAATAGAAGATACAGAGAGATTACACAATGAAAAAAAGATGAATGCAGTGGCAAAGAACCGCATGTGCTCAAGAAAGATCCAATAGGAACTAGTTTATATTAACTGTAAATTGCTCCATTTTCTACTCGGGTAAGGCTGCTTGGGAAAAGGTGTTGCACAGTCTTATGACTGCTGGTGAAAGTGTGATTCTGAAAGTTGCACCTTGGAGGAATGAAAAGAAAGATGAAGGTGATAACTTTAGAGGGTGTGGGAGTTGGGTAGATTTCTTCTCAGGATGAAGTACAGTCCTTGTTCTCACCTCTGTTGCGGCTGCCTGCAGGGTGCCAAGCTGAGCTGAAAAAAAAAAAAACTGATCCAAAGTTTCCCCACACGTTGGCACGGCATGTAAATGGAGATATGGAAAATGCTTTCTGCTTGACAGATGCCAGCATGGCGCTAGGTACAGCATGAGAGGATTCTGTGCGGCGATTCTGTGTATTTGACGCAAACTAAAATAATTAACACATGTAAGTTTCCTCATTAGTCCTGCTGTTTGTATTCCTGTTTATCTGTTAATGTTTAAAAATGGAGGTGGATGTAGGTTTTGGTGAGCCTGTCGTAGTTGCAAAGAGTTTTTTGAAACAGACTGAAATTGAGTGACAAGAGTGACAATTTCTCTATTTTTAAATCTTGATGCTAGAAATTGGTGTCAGCGGGAACTTAGAGTTTGTGTTAATTTTGGCGCCTCTGTGGACCAAGTCATCTTTGTTTATCTTGTCCTTTTAAAGTGATGGTTGATGATCTGAGAAGCAGTTGAAAGAAACTGAGCTGTTGAGGCAGATTTGAAAAAAGCGCCCCCACCCCAGAGTCGGAAAC